GAATAAAACTTTATTTCGCTGTGTAAATAACAGTTTTTAAAAACGCTCTCCCGAATTTTGAACATTTAATTCGTTCAATGCTTTTTCGGATAAGTTTATTTTTCTATGATAATAACTCGAATTGAGTTTTAGGTAATGATTTGTTGCAAATAAATTCAAATTGTTAAGACTTGCATTAAGTTTTTTGGTTGGTTAGTTAGTTGGTTCTCTAATGGATTCGATATTGATTGACAAGTGTATTCCAGAATTTTCAGCTAATTGTTTGCGTTTAGTGGGTCACGCACAGATTCATATCGGACAAACATAAAAAAAAAAGAATTGGCAAAATTACCGAACCTTGCGGAACTCTCTGCTTAATTAATTTAAACTCGGAAGTTCGTACCAAAAAGGTAGTTGTTTACTTTTTTGTAATTTGAACTCGACTGTATCCACCTGTTAGAATATGTTTCAAAATATTTAAAGAATTATTTTAGAATCCAAAACATTTCAATTTTGCAAATAATAAATTGTGACTCAAATTGTCAAAGGTCCTTTACTATGCCAACTAGTGCTGTAGTGGTGCCAAATACTGATTAGCAGTCTGGTAAAAGATTATTGTTTTCTAATTATTCAACAATTTGCTTGGGAATATGCTTACAGGCTTACAGATCTTTGGGATATAGCACCTTGGCAACAGGTATTTTTGGTCCAAAAAGAAAACAGGAATTTATGAAGTTTATTAGTGCCCTAGAACAAAAAGGCATGCAGACTTTTATATATCGAATACTTTTCCAACAGCGGTTTTATGAATTAGGTGAAAGTTTAATATAACTTCCACATGCTACTTTAATACTTCTTACAAAACTTCTGGATTCCTCCTGCGTCGGTTTTTGCTGACTCAAACTTGCTGACGTTTCACTAATCATCCTATTGGCTTCTTCAGAGTTTGACTGAAACTGGCTCGCAATTTACTCTGTACCTGCTTATCTAATGTTTGAGGGGGGGCGGAGCTAAATGAGAGGCATAAAACACCGTCTTGGATGACTGATTGTTAGGTTGTTTAAAGATTTCTATAGACTTTCGGATTTTCCGTTCGTAGAAGAATTGATTGCATGCAAGAGTTTTAGTTTTATCGAATAAAATTTTATGTCTGGTTTCGTGACTGTGTTCGGCAACAGCTGATGAGTTTATTGGTCTTAGTCGTAAGGCGCTTGCGTGTTCTTTGAGACCAGTTGATATTTTTCGTCCGATTTCTCCAATATATTCTTTGCCGCTGTAAACTCCTGCCATCTCAAATGGAATTTTATCTTTGACGGACCGAATATGTTGAGAGATTTTTGGACAAGTGGCAAATTTGGTTTTGACGTTATACTTCTTTAGAACCTTTGATATGTGGTCAGCGACATTTTGAATGTAAGGAAGGACCACAGTGGCAAGTGTAAGATTGCTTTCGGCCTCATTGCTATTGGAAGGTTGTGGTGAAGTGTATTTTTTCATCGAAAGCTTAATATCTTAATAATAATAAATTATTAGAGACAAAAGCAGAGGTAAGGTGTTTTAATTCTGGATTCAGTAACTCGGGTAACAAGAGAATTGATGATTTTTGGGCCGGATGGTGATGTGACCATGCAATAAGGAATCGGTCTGTGTGCGTAGGTTTTCTGTAAACACAATGACCTAATGTTAGGTATGATTTTCTATTGATAAGGATATCTAAGAATGGAAGGTTATTATTAGTTTCCAACTCAATGGTAAACCGTATATTAGGGTGCACAGAATTTAAATGTCTAAGAAAATCTACTAGGGTTTCTTGACCATGAGGCCAAATAACAAAAGTATCATCGACGTAGCGTTTCCATAATTTTGGTTTTAGATAAAAGATGTCTAGTGTCATCACATTTTTCCATCCGTGAATCAATACGTGAAAATGTAGTATATATATATATATATATATATATATATATATATATATATATATATATATATATATATATATATATATATATATATATATATATATATATATATATATATATATATATATATATATATATATATATATATATATATATATATTCTCATGTATTGATTCACGGATGGAAAAATGATACTATATTCCGGGATATCATCCGTTCGCTCTTTGAACTCCGACTGGAATATATATATATATATATATATATATATATATATATATATATATATATATATATATATATATATGATGACACTATATTCCGGGATATCATCCGTTCGCTCGTTGAACTCCGACTGGAATCCTGCATCCGACTGGAATCCTGCAGACGTTTCGCCAAAATCTCACTTGGCATCTTCAATGCTCGCGCTCCGAAAACATTTCGAACACAGTGTTCGAAGTGTTTTCGGAGCGCGAGCATTGAAGATGCCAAGTGAGATTTTGGCGAAACGTCTGCAGGATTCCAGTCGGATGCAGGATTTGCAGGATTCCAGTCGGATGCGGGATTGCGGGATTCCAGTCGCAGTTCAACGAGCGAACGGATGATATCCCGGAATATAGTGTCATCACATTTTTCCATCCGTGAATCAATACGTGAGAATATATATATATATATATATATATATATATATATATATATATATATATATATATATATATATATATATATATATATATATATATATATATATATATATATATATATATATATATATATATATATATATATATATATATATATATATATATATATATATATATATTTAATTAAGGTAAGAAGGTCTTTGATCTTTTCCTGATATTCATTTGTGTTCATGACCACCGTACCATTTCCATTTCCTTTATCTGCTTTTAGGAATACGATGTCTGAATTAGATTTTAGAGATTTTAGGGCAATGCATTCAGGATTTGCTATATTCGATTTAGGAGGTTTTGATTTTTTAAGGATTTTTGCAGTTTCAAATCGAATTTCATTAGCTGTTTGAGATGGCAGTTTGTTTAAGATAGACTCGATATTTGGGATAATACGTGGGGCAAGGACGAAGTTGGAATCTTTTGAAAGAACTAATTTTTTGGTTTCCGAAAGTTGGTGCGATGATACATTTATTACAGTGTTTGGTATTTGATAAAAGTTTGATGGTTTTCCTAGTGTTGACGTTAGTTTTTCAAATTTCTGAATGTGATTTTGGGTAGTAGATAAACGAAGATTTAAAGCTTTGTCATGAATCATGTTTGAAAAGGTATCGAACTCGGATGGGGACAAGATGGAAGAAATTTCAAGGTGTAGAGTCAGAAGAGCCTCTTTCCTTACTTTCTCGAAGTAAAGCGAAACTAGATTCTCGAAGAATTTTATAATCGGATGAGGTTTTGACATGATGGGATATTTTAAGAAAATTGGGGATAACGTTATGATCTCTACAACGTAACAAAAAGGTTAGTGTACAGATTAATCTTACCAGTCACAGAGTAAAATGCGAGTCAAATTCAGTTAAGCTCTGAAGAAACCAACAGGATAATTGGCGAAACATCAACAAGTTCGACTCAGCAAAATCCGACGTAGGAGGAATCCAAAACTTTTGTAAAAAGTATTAAAATACGTTATATTTTCCCTAGCTATTGCATATTTTGTACAATTTCTTAGTTGTCTATAGTATATGAGTGAGACGCTGTCCATATAATATTTTTATTGACCTTGTCTCCCAACTTCATTAAAAAAATTATATTTTCATTAATCAATATTCTTTAAAGATGCATATTTGTTAAAAATTTCCAAAATAAAATTTTTAACAAATTTTAGCTTATCATCAATGTTGGTTGTTTTAAAAATTTCTTTCCCATTTCAATAATAATCCTTCCTTTAAAAATTCATTTAAATTAATATTTCTATAGTCCAATTTTTTTTTAATTTTGAGACGCTACATTACCAGAAAACAGTAAACACTAGATACAACAAGGTCGATCAGACTCATTTGATTGGTTACAAAGTTCATTCTAGTAGGTTGCGTGATACTTTGAACTACAATATTTTTAAGTCCTTGAGAATACGTGTGCTTCATTAAGTAATTTATTTAGAGACTAAACCAAGAATTTCTAAAAGTGTCTAAAAAGTATTACGTGTGATGGTTAGAAGGTTATAAGAAATCAAGATTCTTTTTTTATCAAAAGATATTGCGGACTATTCAATATCATACGTTCCCAAGTAATAACATAAACCGATCCTGCTTCCTCGATCTGCTTTACATCTTCTTATAAAACTATATCCAGGAATATTAAAAGAATGGAAAATACATCCAAATTGTTATTAAGAATGTAGTTTGAGAGTTCATCAAATAGAAAACCAACACAAAAATATTTCCTATTATACATTAACCATTATCCCACACTTACCTCTCCACCCCCCCCACCCCCCCCCCCCAACCAAAAGGCTATCTCTTTAGTCATGAAATGATAACTATTAAACTATCATCTGCATTCATCTGCAATCATCTGCAAATTCACCAAAGAAACAAATACAGTTAAATTATTTATTTGGAGAACTATTACCAGAATATTAACTTTGTAAATTGGAAGTAAACTAGGAATGCCAGATCACAGCCTCCAGGGATAATGAGTAGAGGACCGACCAGCACTAAGATGGGAAACATACTTTAGACATGTGATGATAGAAACCTGAGAATAGGAGACTGCAGTGTAGGAATGTCGAAGAAGAATATTGAGTTATTGAGCTGCCTTATATTATTATAAAAGAAGGCTCCAAAGACTGACTGGCCGTACATAAATCTAAGAACGAATTTGTGACCATGACCAAGAAGATCGAAGACGCTTCTAGTTTCTGATCATCAAATGCTTAAAATGGAGTTTTAAAAAATATGAAAATTTACTTAATTTTTATTTATTTATTTATTATTTCAACATAGTTTTCCGGAATATTTCTATTTAGAACAATTATTTTAAAGATTTCTTTTTTTGCGTAATCTGGCTTTTGTTAGAGTATCTATAATTTTGTAACATATGTGTAGTATAATGTACTACTATCGGCGCATATTTATGAAGCAAAAGGACAGTGAAAAAATAAACAATTGGCCATCTTCTTATATATAAAAAAAAAAAGGTTTTATTACAAATACTGATTAGGTACAAAAGTAGAAAGCAGCCTGGTAATATAGCTAAGTGATCAGAATGTTGTGAGTGGCTTTTTGTTCCATCTGTAGTACACTTCATTCCATTTGGAGTACGTTTCCTCCATGGGATTTTCCAATATATCAAAATTGATGGTAATGTTTATATATTGGAATAACTGAGGCGTTACTTTGGGCCAAACCAAATTTTCAAGGAGCTCATCTTCTTGCGGAGTGGGGTTTCTAGAAATAATATAAATTACGTAATATGTTTAGAAAAAAAATTAAATCACTAATTTCCTAAACATTAGATACTGGGCAAACAAATAGTAGTTTGAAGCATTACTTACAAGTATTTGACAAAATTGGTCCAAAGAGTCGTCATTCTATTGATCATTAGTTTGTCATTCTCGGGAAACGAATTAAATCCAGATTTTCTAGCGAACAAGTACTGCATGTCGTCACTATGCTGACATTTTTCTTCGGCCCCTATAATATTTAACCCATTAACGCGCGATTGCGAACTAATTTAAAAACTTATTACAAAATTGAATTGTTTGGAGTTTTCTTAAAAGACTGAAGTGAGAATAAGTGAAGACGTCACTAGAATGCGTACTAGAAGTAATTATAAGTTATATTAGGCAATAATGAGTAATCAATGATTACTGAAAGAACTCTGAAATAGATTAAAAGCAGGTACGAACTGTGAAGACTGTGAAGCAGAAATTTTCATTTAGCTCCTAGTGATAAGATTAACTCAAATAAAACGAAAAATGTCACTTTGTATCTCAAAATTAAGAGAACCTGGGAGCTGCTTGTTTCAACTTACCTGGTATATCAAGATGGCGATTATTAAGACTTCCCCAGTAAGAGAATTTATAGAAGAAAACATCGGTATATTTGGATTGCAGCTCTGCATGTTTGATAACTCCCCGGGTAAACATATCATCAGATTTAAACTGTAAAAAAATCCATAAAAACTGGTAAAAGCTGTTACAGATCAAAACTCTTACCCTAATAACTTTGTACAAGTTATCACTAAATGTTTCATTGCTTGGCAAGTATATTTCCTTGATAAATTCTTCAATCGTTTTTTCATTGTCCGGATTTTCCGCTTCAAAATCGTAGGGATAAATGTATTCCGCTTCTGAATCCAGCTTCTTAGCTTCACTTTCTGCCATCGAAATACCTAATAACAAGAATAAATAGTATTACCACATGAATAAGGGAACAGTTCATTCTAATACTATGAAATGCAGCTTTTCTCTATTACAAAAATGTTAACCTAACGCCCAAAACTGCAGCTTAAGAAAGCCAATATATAAAGAGCGGACAAAACAAGTTCTCTTATTATTTTATTTGAAGAGCCGAAGAGTTAAAAGGCAACTGTCTGTACCTTCTTTATGTTTAATAATAAAAATTTAAACAATATTTCATTTGAAAATGTCAATTAGAATGTGAATTAACAAGAAAATGGAAAATTTCTCGTGAACTACACTTTACACGTTTAAATGATTGTCCCCCGACTTTCGGTCCTTGGACTTTTTTTCTTTAGGGAAACCAAAGATCTCTTACATCTGCGGAGACACTTACTTTAGGCTAATAAATAGTTGAACAGTTTTTCCTGTGCTAACTGTTCCTTTGTGTTATTGTTATTATAAAATTAATTTTTGTGTGTACCTTTTGAATACAATCTGATACGAATACCTAATACCTGTCGAATGCTAATATTTTTTTGTGGTAGGATAAGCAAATTATTATTGCGTCAGTATAAGATGAAAAGGAATTTTGAAGCAACTTCAAATCGTATAATGATATGGAACACAAAATTAAAGAAACGTTGAAATACTCTATCAAACAAGTTTTATAGATGACACTTTAAACACGAGTTTCTATAGGCACACGCGGAGTAGAAACGCAACTTTAAGTTACATTCAAATATGTAAAATTATACAGGGCTCTTCATAAGAAAATTTTAATTTTATATCACCAACTTGTAAACGGAATATGATATTATTCACCCGGAAATTCCCCAAAACCTCCCATAAGAAAATGATTTAGTTTCCCACTCTACATATTGTGATCTACTTTTTTTCGAGTTACTCCGGAAAATAAGAATTTAATGTGATGAAAAAATGTAACCATAAAATACAATAAACACCTCAACATCAAATCTCAATACAAAATTGACTTCACTTACTATTGACAAACGCCAATGATTCTTCTGAGGTCATCCCGATAAGAATCGGAACTTGATTAAAATTACCACTTTCGAGTAGATCGTATGGGTTTTCCGACAAAAAGGCTCCTTCGTATTCGGGCTCGATAGTGGGAGTGAGCCGATTCTGAAATGCCAAGAGATATCTTGAAAAGTTGCAAGGCGTTATTAACATTTTTATTAACTTACGCCTTCCTTCTCAAATACATCTTGCAAAACGGAAGCTGCACTTATTATAGCATCCGGAGTTTGTGCTTTGAGGAATTCTCCTAACTGTGCTGTGGTATACGTTGCAGGACTGATACTGCTGTCGATTACATTCGCTAAAGCGTAGGTGAAATTCGCTGGTTCTCTAAACACGGACCATGGGCTTAAGCCTGAACCGCTCATGCATATGGCCGCTCTAAACAGTCCTACAATCAACCGGAAAAGTTAATTTTGTGGTCATTACTGCGGTGATTGGGATTTACAGTTTTTACAAAGGATTTACGGAGCACTTTAATTATTTTATAACGTTACATTTCACATAAAAACCTCATGCTAATTTCTGCAGCACGCAATTGAATTGACGTATTTTGCATTGGGGTAATAAGTATAGTTTATGAAATAAATTAAATGATTACCTAATTATTCGTATAGGACACTTTTGAGAGTTTTAAAAATAGTAAAGAGAAAGACTGCGATACGTTAATAAGTTTACGAGTTATTAGGGATTTTTGAAAAGTTTGCATTTTTAGGACGATAAATTTTTGTTTGTTGAAATTTTTATTTGACACGTAAACTTTATACCTTTTTTTTAAAGAAATTTCAATACAGAACTAAACCTTTTTTCCATACTTTCAATTTTTGGGATGTAAACATAAGTTATTATACTTTTCACAAAACGACGAAGGTAATCTGAGAATACGAGAGAACATTTTTTTAAAAATCTTAAAATTGCGATTTAAGAAGAAACAATTTCAAAAAGTGCTGGGAATCTTTTGCGTTGCATATTATATATATGTATATAATAATTTTTCAAAGAAACTTCCACAGGCTAGTGTAATAATTTTTACAAAACTTCTGGATTCCTCCTGCGTCGGTTTTTGTTGAGTCAAACTTACTGACGCTTCGCTTGGCTTCTTAAGAGCTTGACTGAAACTGGCTCACATTATACTCTGTACCTGCTTATATATTGTTTGAGGGGAGCGGAGTTAAATGAGTGGCATAAACACCGTCTCGGATGACTGATTCCCATATTGGTGATAGGTAAAGACCTGAGTTGCGGTTAAAATTGTTAGGTTGATTATAGATTTCTATAGCTCTGATTTTTCGTTGGTAGAAGAATTGATTACATGCAAGAATTTTAGTTTTATCGAATAAAATTTTATGTCTGGACGGACCGAAGATGTCGAGAGATTTTTGGACAATAGGTAAATCTGGTTTACACTATATATTTTTTTAGAACCTTTGATATGTGATCAGTGATGTTTTGAGTGTAAGGAAGGACAACAGTGGCAAAATCTCTCAACATCTTCGATCAGTCAAAGCCAAATTCCATTTGAGATGCCAGAGCTTACAGCATTCCATGAATATACGGAGAGGCAGGAGAGGCCGGAAGAAAAATATCAACTAGGCTCAAAGAACATAAAAGAGCCTTAAGACTAAGGTCTTTACCTGTCACCAAAATGGGAATCAGTCATCCGAGACGGTGTTTATGCCCCTCATTTAGCTCCGCCCCCCTTAAGTTCGACTCAACAAGAACCGACGCAGGAGGAATATTTGAAAAAATAATAAGTTGTTAAACATATAGCATACACCATAAACATATCTAATATGCAACGCCTAAGGATTCCCAGCACTTTTTAAAATTGCTTCTTTCTTCTAAAATGACATTTCTCAGATTTAAAGAAAAAATGTTCTCTCATAATCTCAGATCATCTTTGTCGTTCTCTTAGGTATTGCTTCGATAGGAGGTAACATTTTGGTGAAACTAAGTTTTAGTTTTTGAACGTTGTATTAGTTAAATTTTAGAGATAGAGTTATATCTTGGACCATATTTAAAAATCGCTGGTCCAAGTTTTATTTTTGTAATGTGAAATGTAACTCTGAAGTTCAAGTTATCGGCATACTAATTGTATTTACCTGCTGATTTTTTGCTCAAAACTTGTAGTCCGCAAGCGCTTCCACCAGCGCTTTGTCCGAAGACCGTTACTTGGGACGGATCTCCTCCAAATGCTTCTATATTTTCATTGGTCCATTTCAAAGCGAGTACCTGGTCCTTCATGCCAGCGTTTCCCGGAATGACCAAGTCTCCGGTGGAAAGCAATCCAAAGGGACCCACTCGGTAGTTGAATGTTACTACTATGACATCTTTTTCGACCAAATAACTGGGATTGTAGGACGACACACTGGAGGAACCACCGATGTACCTACCTCCGTGTATATGCACCATGACGGGATATTTTTTCTGAAATAAAAGTTTAACTTATCCATCACGCAATAATTTCAAGATAACTGTTACTGACGCCCACTTACCGATGAATTAAATGACGGTACGTAAACATTTAAGAACAAACAATCTTCGCTTTGAGATCTTGCGTTGTAAAAGGACTGAATGCATGTTGTTCCCTCGGCGGTAGCATCTAATATGCCTTCCCAGCTTCCTGATAACGTGGTCTCCTGAAATAATTATATTCATGCACTGAGTCTGCTATTCCGAACATTTTATAATTTACTTGGAATCTGAGATCTCCCACTGGCGGCACTGCATACGGAATGCCTTGAAAAGCATAAATCGTTTGATCGGTAGGAGTGGAAAACGTTTTTCCCCGAATTTGTCCATTTTTGGTTGTGACTATGATGTCATCGGCAGCCTAAAATTCAAAACATAATGAAAATATATGCTTTGAGTTTCTATTGACGGTTGAAATTAATATTTCGGCGTATATGATTACATTTTCTACAGAGCCGGTCTAATGATGATAAATTGAAAATGAAACTATACTTGAGACAAAACGCAAAAAAATTATTGATATTTTGTTTGTCTCTTTAAATTTGACAGAATTTTTTTTCTAAACATAAATAAACTCCCAGCAAATAAATTTCTTATCATATAGCGTGGTCTTTCGTCTATAAGAATTTATTAATAGAAGGGAAAACATCGTAATTGATAAAGTGTCAACCAGTACACATTTTATCTTTAATATTCAATGTCAAAACGGCAAATACAGTTAAAACACAATATTGCCCTAAGAAAGGATAACTGCCGATGCTTTTATTGCCACAAAAAGTAAAGCCAAACCGTTTCCGCTGAATCATGAATAATAATTTAATAATAATAATTTTTTAATAGGAATTTACATGTAAAAATGACCGATACGAGAGCAAATCAGAAAAAAGATTCTGAACTGTCCAAAAATATAATGTGAACTGTTGTAATCATTTGGCTGTGTCACTTTGTTCTAAACTTTTTATTATGTAAATTTTTATATGCTGTCTTTTATCCTTTGGGGAGTTTCCTAATCCTTTGTTAAGCGATAAAACAGAAATCAAATTAAATACAAATTACTCTGTGCGATGGTCTGGAAACGTTGCTCAGGTGGTTGTTTCCAGATTTTTTTCCGAATAGTGGGTAAATAGCGTTTTCAGTAGTATTTATTGGAAAAAATCATTAATTTAAATTTTCGTTTTTATGATACCTATATAACGTACTACTAACTAACTAACAACTAAACGAAAACTATACGTTTAACCGATAAGCTAAACCAATTCAAACTGAAACAATGAGTCAGATAAAATGCGAAAGTGTGTGATATGGCTTTTCGACAATGTACCGAACATTTGTTTCAAGTGTATGATCGTTTCGAATATTAAAAATTGACAATATTCTGATATCGCATTCTTTACGCAAAGATGAATTTCAAACTGATATATTGATCCGGAATTTATATACCAAATACTTGACTTGAATGATGTCACGCATCCGAAACCGTTTGTCATTATTCGATAAGATTTGTAAAGAACACTCGAGATATTCGAGAAAATTACCATTAACATTAACATTAATTAAGATGCACGGACTAGGGTAGGTAGGTGTAATATTTCGACAACAGTGGTTTTAAATAGTAAATTATACTTCTTTGTACCTTACGAAAACTAAAAATTGTTTATACATAATATCTAAATATATATCGATTGGAAAGAAAAATTATATAGAGTAAAATCGCCTCGTGCATTTAACTAATTCTATTCCACCATCATCAAACTTATTTATGTTGTGGCTCTTTAAAGTGTTTAGGTTTCTTTCGAACCTCGACATTTTACGGATTCTATTCAAATCGTAATGTCTTAAAGCGTTTGAATATCATTCGGGCCACAAAATGAATCAGCTATCATCAAATCAACTATAATTATTAATCAAAATATTGATTCGCTTCATACCAATTTCCATATTGATTCAATTCCCCAAAAATATCGATAACGGATTTATTAAAAACTAAAAATTTATTTCTTAGTATTTGTTAATTAATTGTTAATGCTTAACTAGACAAATATTAAACTTGAATTGATTACATAAAAATAAAATGAAAAATTGAAAAGAAAAAACTGCATTTGAAATATTTGACCTCCCGAAAAAGAAATGATTCTTAAAGAAGTTGGAAGCTGTAAAAGCACTAAGATACACGCCTAACTTAGGATAGTTTTAGCAGAATTAAAGAAAGACGTACCTAAAATTAAACACTTAGCAACAACGTGGAGTTAAAGTCGGGAAAAAATTATAAATATAATTCTTGTTCTAAACATAGCATATATTATAATTATAAAGCTGAACTTCAAAGTGTGGATTGTCTTTAAACGTCCATTGCAAATTGTATTATTTATTATCTAGACCGGACACTCTGAGGTGAAAATTTGTAAAACACAAGGGCTTCTTTATTCGATATCGTTAGGTGTTTACTAATATTGGAAGTAGTAAGTCAGACACAATTTGAATCAGAAGACGAAATAGGAATTTTGGCATCTTTGCAGTCCACATATATGTATATATATATATATATATATATATATATATATATATATATATATATATATATATATATATATATATATATATATATATATATATATATATATATATATATATATATATATATATATATATATATATATATATATATATATATTCTCACGTATTGATTCACGGATGGAAAAATGTGATGACACTATATTCCGGGATATCATCCCGAAAACACTTCGAACACGAGTGCGTCGGAGCGCGAGCATTGAAGATGCCAAGTGAGATTTTGGCGAAACGTCTGCAGGATTCCAGTCGGATGCAGGATTCCAGTCGGAGTTCAACGAGCGAACGGATGATATCCCGGAATATAGTGTCATCATCATCAAATATATATATATATATATATATATATATATATATATATATATATATATATATATATATATATATATATATATATATATATATATATATATATATATATATATATATATATATATATATATATATATATATATATATATATATATATATATATATATATATATATATATATATATATATATATATATATATATATATATATATATATATATAATTGTGTCACTACTTCCAATATTAGTAAACACCTAACGATATCGAATAAAGAAGCCCTTGTATTTTACAAATTTTCACCTCAGTGTGTCCGGTCTAGATAATAAATAATACGCTGGTATAGACTCCAAATGAAAACTAGGTTTGATCCCAGTTTATAGAAATATTCATCCCAATCAATACACTTTCACATTAAAAAATGATATTTTGAATAGTAAAAAACACTAAACATAATTAAAAGCAAAATTTGGATTATATTTCTAGTTTGCAATGTTCTCATTTGCAAAAGGCAAATATCACAAGAGCGAGGAACGCTTTAGTTTGCGGTACGTTATTAGTATGCTAGTATATTCAAACTCCCAAATTAATGGACACTTTTTTTACCACAAGCAAACCATATTATTGAACTACATCCTTACCACAAATAATGGCAACAACAGGTATCCAACGAAACGGTTCATTTTGATGGAGTAAGGTAACCAGCAAGCAGTCTCGCATATTTATAGTGAAAAGCTATTTAATCTGGTTAATTAAAACGTAATAGATTTTCGAAAATAACACTCGACAAAATACATAAATGAGATATATCTCTTCCGATAAACTTGATATTGGTTATATCGGTTTCTCCATTCAGTAAAACAGAATTTTGTTGTCATTCTGCGAATGACGCAAGTACAAAATTAATCCAACATAATGTGATTTAACTATTGTTCACACAAAGAGCTTATAACCGAAAATATGTTCTAACCATTTAAGTATTTCTTGTTTCAGACCCGCAAAGAGAATTTGTGCGCATGATTAACGAAGTGTCGTCAATTTTTTAAACATTAAAAATACTATAACCCAATTTCACGTCATTTATTAATATATTGGTGCATTGAAACATCGACATGGCAAAATATTAGGTTTAGTTATAATAAAAAATCCGATAATTAAATCAATGTTTTGCAGCTACAAATTTACTTATGATCCATAACAACAAAACAATCAATATCAAAAACTAATAAACTGAGCATCGAAAATGAAAAGGTTTTGAGTTTGAATACTATAGTGAAAACGAAAGATTTATAATATTTGATCAAGCTTGCCCTGAAAAGTTTATAAACTATACATGGATGGAGAATCCTTTGATGAGCTGTTACACCTGTTACGCGAGTGCCTAAATGGCTCAGGTATTCAAATGAGGAAATCAATTTACTCAGATGAAAAACTACTTGTAACCTTAAGATAAGTACAACCGTATTTATTTTTAATCCTGTGTTTAAACAAACTGTGAATAATACTAGAAAAGCTGCCGAAAGACAACAGATATGCGTTTCGAAGGAAGAGAAAGGATTTTGAGGAATACGTGTAGTCATGGAAAATCCTGAATACTTCTGAGTGTATAGGTCGGGGAGGCCCAAAGAGTGGTTACTGAGAACCCCATTCAATTTGTTGGCACATTACTTCTTGGGAAATTTTCCAACTCTGGCAGTAGAGAGAGCAAAAATAATCTATCTGAGTCTTCGGTCTCTATCTTATCTCTACTCGCCAAAGAAGCTCTCTCATAAAGATTATTGAAGTTTTTAATCTTGTTTTCGAATCTAAATAATTTATTTGTTGGACCTTTCTTGAAAAGTATATTAGTACGTACAGTGAAACTTTTAAGATGTTAGCTTCGTTAACTTTTGTGGAAAATGATTTCGGATGTTTTCGGTAAATTTTATCCACAGGTTCTTCTGACCACGTCACACGTTGCTCAGTGAATGTATTCGTAATGTTTTTCAAAAATGTAATCAAAAACTAATAGTCAAAGAAAAAGTGTGATAAACTACAATAAAAAGTCCGTTGCTTAACCTACTATTTTTTGTAATATAACAATAATAATAACATTAAATAAGAAATTTCAATACAAATAGATATCGTGTAAAATTAATTTGCTATTGACATTTGAATTTTTGTAGTAGAAACTATAAACATTAGACTCAGGTCCACATATTGAGCAATGTCAGAAACCATACCACGAGATACTGTATAAGCCGTTAGAGGATAAGTTACCTAAAGTATTTGTTTGCGATAAGTTTAAAGTGAGATCAGCGATAGTAACAATTTCCAACACGGAATGGATTTATTTTCCTCTTCGGTAAATTTGCAAAATCGACATCTAGGATTTATTATAATCCCAGTTTTTGTCTAGACCGCTTATCATCGAAATTTTGCCCAAGCGCTAATACATTTGTATTTTTCAAAAGAAAATCAACAAGTGTGATAAGTCAGGTTTCATTTTATATCTGCGTAGAAGTGATTAAAAATAAATAGACATTTCCGGCACGCAATAAATGAGTGTCCTAATTTTAATTCTATGTAAATGTACCGGGTGGCCAATTAAGAACGACTCTCGCAAAGTAATTGTCGTCAATACTTAGGGGTAAAAAACACAAAAATGCCTTTTCCACCTGTAGAAATGCACGTTTCGTGTTTATCTTCAAAACATTGAAAACGCAACTGTTTGCTATTTCTGTGTAAAAATGTTAATAATACACAAGAAATATGATTAAATTAAAAATATCTGTGTGACATCCTCAAATTATTATACATTCGTATCCCACCCACTTTACAAAATCCTTAAAAAATGTTAGGTATCTTGCGGCATTATTACAGCGTTGCCACTGTTTAGGTCTCTTAAATTTTGCGCAATAAATTAAAAAAGTTTTAACATTATTTCGCTTTAGTATATTTTGTAGCTTACCAAGGAAACTTGTCACTGTCGTTATCACTGCTCGAGTGGCTGTGTCGAAATGTAAATCACGCAAATTAAATTTAAAACAATGACCAATACGTTTGCAAACCGTTATTTAAAAATAAAAAAAGAAACATTAAAAGAAACTTTAAATTTTAAACACAAATTTTTCAAAGACTAATAACTTGACGATAATAACTTATTTTCTCTTATTATACTGATTAACGATAGAGCCCATGTTTTATTGGTAAACCCATCTGAGTGAAGCATCTTTAGTTCCTCGCTCTCATTGTTTTGAGTGTGTTTTTGTAGCCAAAGAATATCAGAAAAATATCTCGGCAAGTCTTTTTTGTCAATTTTCTATGGATTTAATAGACGATCGCAATTTTGAACAAATAATATGAGGAAATCCATTCCAGTTAGTAACAAAATTTGCATCAATTAAAAAATACTTTTCCCTGATTAAAGTTTTGAGGAATATTTAATATTACCAATTTATTGAGCAATCAAAGTTAAATTAAGTCAAGAAATATGTCTTTTTTCCTTTAAGTTAATGGTAGTGTTATAAAACGACATATGATAATTTTTTTAAATGGGTTATCTCTGCAGCGAATACCCTGGAATGCTGATCCATCGGAGCCCTACTACTTCATATAAAAACGCTATTTTTCATTTTCCCAGGAGTTAAGATATGTTGTTGTAACGAGCGTCTTGCAAAATTAAATAAAATTTTTAGAAAACGTAAAGGTCGTTCCGAATAGTTAATTGGCGCAGTCGGTAGGATTTCCAAAAATTGACTGGTGCACCGCGTCGTGACGTCGATTTTTCGTATCATCGATTAACTGGAAAACGGATCTATTCTTGATTAGTGTTTTTCAGAGTAGATTTCTCGAAATCGAAAATCCCAATATATCGAAGACTTGTACAGAGCACGATCATCGAGAACTAGTTTCGTCTAGTTTCTCAAGCGCAAGAACTTTGATTAGCCCAGCAAGTACTGTTAGTTGCAATTGCTGGTTTATGTCGGAACTTGACGAATTAGTCGATAAAATTGAAACGTTAGCTATCGATTTATATAACAATTAAAAAATACACCTTTAACAAGCTCAGGACAAAAAATTAGTTTTCCTTAAATTTAGAAACTACTTTTGAAAAACATAATTTCGCCAGTAATTCAACATAGTGACAATTCAATTCAATTCAATTCAATGATGCGTTTCACAGATAGCTGTTGGGCACGACTACCAGGATCATTCGCCCATTGCCGACTTCCGTCGAGGATTCTCGGATCTTCTCCAGGAAGGAGACAGAATTTTGAAGTTCTAAATGTCGAGGATTTTCGTATCTTCTCTGGCGAAGAAGACTGATTTTTGAAGTTCCAAATGTCGAGGATTGTCAGATCTTCTCCAGCGAAGGAGACTAAACTTTAAAGTTCCAAATGTCGAGGATTTTCGGATCTTCTCCAGCGAAGGAGACTAATCTCAGAAGTTCTAAATGTCGAGAGTTTTCGGATCTTCTCCAGCGAAGGAATTCTTCTTTTGAAATTCTAACTAATATACATGATGATTAAAACCAACCCATAGACCATGAGCTAGCAAATCCAAAAGCGGTTATAAGCAGATACCACATGCATCAAGGAATCTAACCACAAGTCGTGCAACAGAATCCATACATCCAGGGTGAAAAAGTGCAGAAAAGGCACTAATAGGAGCGGGTAAGCTGGCATCAATGAGGGACTCATACAAAATTTGGGAGTTATTCCGATGCAGAGCACAATCAAACAAAATATGTTCAATATCTCCCACCCCTCCACAAGCACACAGGTTAGATATTTTGACGTTTATCTTGTAAAGATGTGCTGGGGAACTACAATGATTACTCCTCATTCTGCACACTGTTGTAATCTCCTTTCTAGACAGCTGCAGTTTGTGGAACCATGGAACTGTTGGAGGTGTCTTATAAACTGCCCTTTGAACGGCCCCACTCTCTCCACTTGATGGCCCAGATGTGCCACATCTTTGCTCTAATTATCGGGATAAATTCACTAAAAGGGGGCCTTAAATTCAGCGGGTCTAAAAGTCTAGCTTCTGAGGCTATTCTATCCACCGTTTCATTATGTCTTATCCCCGAATGGCTTGGAATCCAGCATAACGATATTTTCCCCCCAAGTCTGCGCTTCAAAATATCAATCTTTGCTTTAATATCTAGTAGAATGTAGCTGTTGGAAGCTTCAACCGCACTGCATCCGAAGCTCTGCAGGGCACTTTTGGAATCGGAGACAATTACTGCCTGTTTAATATTATAATCTAATATAAGATCTAGGGCGTAACTAATAGCTACCATTTCTGCAGAGTAAATACAAAACGCGCTATTCAACCCATGCCCGACCCTAGCATTGAGAGACGGAATAAATACTCCAAAGCCAACTCTATCATCTGGTCCCTTAGAGGCATCGGTAAATATAAATGTCTCTTCCCCGGTCCACATTTTAGAACAAAATTCCCGAAACTCAGTTTCATTTAGACCCACCCCTTTCTCAATTTTGGAATCAACAAAATTAATAGGCGTAAGCTGAGGGGCCAGGTTCTTATTAAAACACGCTAGAACGTCTCCACTATCGATAATATTATGATATGTGGCGGTGTAGTCAAATGCTACAACTAAGGGTAAATTCGCCTTCCTTCTAAAAAAGTTATGATTTTCTTGATAGGCAATATATAACCGTTGGGTAGCTAAGAAACTGGGATTATTTCTGATTCTAAGGGACTTGACCAAAAACTTAGAAGCCAACATAATCCTCCTCACCTCCAAACTTGTTTCACAAGCCTCTCCCAATAAAATATTAATTGGAGTTGATTTCATCATACCCAATGTCACCCTTAAAGCCTGATATTGAATCCTATCCAGACCAGACAGGGTTTTTTTCCCACAGCACCCCAGTACCATAGAACCATAGTCAAGATGGGAACGCACAAAAGCTTTATAAAATATCAGAAGAGTAGACGGATGGGCTCCCCACCATGTCCTGGATAGAAATCTCATAATATTAATTCCACTAGCTGCCTTGTGAATCATTCTGCCAACCTGTGGAACCCACGTAAGCTTAGCATCAAATGTAACTCCCAGGTACCTAATTTCATTTTTCCAGGGAATATTTACACTAATAATTACCAAGTCGGGAAGTCCAACCAAAGCAGATCTAGAGAATAAAATAGCAGACGACTTTTGCGGACTAAGCTGCAAGTTAAACCTATGCATCCAATCAGCCACTGCCACCAAGGCTTTATTCATCAAGCCTATAGCAAAGAGGACATTGACATCGCTACATAGAAGAACAATATCATCCGCATACTGGAAAATAGAAACCCTATGAGGAATTACTAACTTAATTGAATTTACGTATATATTGAATAAAAGAGGCGCTGAGGGAGATCCCTGAGGGACCCCCTTACTGGTTGATCTAGGTCCGACCAAAAGGTGCCCAACAGCATCCTTAACAAATAGGTTCCTGTTGAGGAGAAGTCGATTGATTAACCCTATAGCATCCCTAGGTATACCCTGCTTATCCATCTCTTTTATTAGCATGGGGATGTTAACATTATCATAAGCACCCACAATATCCAATGCAACCATAACAGTAGGAACACTTTTGCTCTGAGCACACAAAATATGACTTGTTATGATGGAAGCATTATCCATAACGGACTTACCGCGCCTAAGGCCGGTTTGAGATTCTGATAGCAATCTGTGATGTTCAAGAAACCACTCTACTCGGCACTTTAATATTGACTCCAGCACTTTACCGAATGTACATGACAAATTAATCGGCCTATAAGAACTAAGAAGATTAGGACCCCTAAACGGCTTTAATATTGGAACAACCAACTGCGTCTTCCAACTATCAGGTATACTGCACTCATTTCTCAATAATTTGTTGTAAAAATTCACTAAGAACACGGCTCCCTCTATTGGTAGATGCTTTATTAACTCAAAAGAAACTCTATCCAAGCCGGGGCATGTGTTTTTACGACTTCTAACTACAGCGATAAACTCATCAAGAGTAAACAAGGGAGAAACTGCAGTGTTGTTATCCCCCTCTAAACTTGTCTCCTCAACGACACCATCGGCATGACGCACTAAGGAGTCCAACAATTCCGCCGGTACTGAAAAGTTAAGTGGGAGGTGACAATTAGCTCGGTTAATAGCCTTTGAAAATCTTTTCACACATTTCCATACATACCTAGCACTCTCATTGGGAGATAAACTCTGGCAAAAATTTTTAAATCCCGCCCTTTTCTTTTCCCTAAGAAATTTTCTACAACTGGCCCGAGTTCTTTTTACATTAACATAATTCTCTAGAGTAGGGGAAATTTTACAATTTCTAAAAGCCTCTCTCTTTTTAGCGATCATTAACGAGCACTCGTGATCCCACCAAGGAAGTCCACATTTACGCCCACTCTTATGAAGGGGTATGGAAGCATCAGCCGCGTCCATGACTACCTTGTAGAACTGGTCGTATGACCTAATAAGGGGGTTGCTTAAACCAATACTAATCAATTCAGAGAATTTGTCCCACTCTGCCTTAGAAACATTGTGCTTCAGGAGATACGCTTGAGCAGGATGATGTAAACTGTCCGGTTTACACCGAATATGACACAGTATCGGGAAATGATCGCTAAACCCTCTGTCGAATAACACCCGGAAATCGGCAACATGAGCCAATTCGTGTGAACAAAATACCAAATCGGGGACAGAACGGGAGTCATTCCCTGTAAATCGGGTGGCAGACCCGTCATTAAGAATAACGAAGTTGTTATCATTAATAAAGTCTGATAGTAAAGAGCCGTTAGCCAGACCGACATAGCTTTTAATTGTAGAGCCCCACTCTTCATTATGAGAATTTACATCACCAGCAAAGAAAACGGGTTTTGACCTAAGTCTATCAACCAAAGTATCTAAGAACAAACGAGACATAGGAAGGTCAGGAGGATTATACATCGAAACTAGAAAAAGGCTGTCCATCTCCAACACTATAACCTGACATCTATCCGGCCTGGGGATATCTGACACATCTAAAACATTATACCCGATGTTGGAGCGTGAAAAAACAATAATCACTCCATACCCATCCATACGATCGTCCCTGACAAAGGAGAAACCAGACAAGGAAAACTTGATATGTGGGAGTAAAAAAGATTCATTAATCATGACTATATCCGGACCAAAGTCACGAATAAGTCTAATAATACTATCACGATTACTTCTAATACCGCAAGTGTTCCAGTGAATAATTGAGAAATTACTAATTTTAACAGAAAGATTTGACTGTCGATCTGGGAACATTAATAAATTAAAACCTGCATCCTCCGGGAGGAGGCAGGGAGTCAAAAAGACTCTCAATTTCATGGTAAGCACTTTTACTGGGTATATTGGACAAAACTTTTTTCTTTAAATTTTCAAACCGATACCAAAATTCACCAGAGGAAGAAACCCCTGGAGAAGCAGTGTCCATCTCGGACTCTGACGATAAGTCATTTAAATATGAGGGAGAAGATTGACTTTTGCTAGTGTGATTCAACTTCTGCCTAGTCAACGGCGGCACGAGACAATCCCTGTGGGCGTCCCTATCATACCCTGATTCTATTTGGGGGGACTTACGCTTTTTTGCTATGACAGAATCAGTTTTAGAAGCAGATCTAGGGGAAGGCTGAGAGACGGGGGCAACCGTGTTATGAATAGGAGGGAAATTTTCATTAGAGCGATTAAACTCACTTGATTTGGGGCCTCTTGGAAAGAGTTTGGCAGCTTCAAAAAAGGATAGGTTGTACCATGCCATAGCCTCATTGATTTTCTTCTGTCTGTCCATTTCCGGACATGATCTATCAGTGGCCTGATGAGAGCCTTTACAGTGGATGCAAGTTGGCTTTGGAGATATTTCGCAATTACCCAGGCTGCATTTACCTTCATGATTTAAGTGGTCTGTCGGGCATGGTTTCTTCTTATAAAACTGTTCTTTCAGTTCACAATGAAATACTGGATGATCTCCAGCGCAGAAACTACATCTACCCTTGCTTTTACATTGGTTTTTCCAATGACCAAACCTGCAACAATTCATACATAAGACAACAGGACTAACATATTTTTCGATTGAACACTCATTTTTATAGATACAGATTGATTCTGGAAGAGTTTTACCCTCAAATGTTATTATATAATCATTAGATGGAACTGTCTTGAAACCAAAAGTGCCAGGCAGAACACCTGGGCATTTGACCCTTTTAGTTAGTCTGCGAACATTAACAATCTTACCGCGCTTTAGCGATCTTCCGATGTTAACCTTGGCTTCTGCCTCAGAGTAAAAATCATCCTCATCAATTAAGTCACCAATGTCCCTCACCAACCCTCGGCAAGTGACTAGTCTTTGAGGTATATACTTATTATATCCACCAGCTGTCGAATATGATTCATTAGATAAAAATTTATTTGCAGACTCAGAGGTGTTAAACTCCAAACCGATTTTATTGGCTCCTTTTCTAGAAAGTTTCAATATACCTTGAACTTTCTGCGCTTGAAGTAACTTCCCAAAGTTCATAGGATGAAGAGTCCCCACCTTACTTGTAATCCCCTCCAGAATCACCATAAAAGGCCCCTGATCGGTGATTTCATATTTTGTTTTCCGATTTACTGTCCTTCTTATGTTTGCGGAGATTTTGGCAACTTCCCGCAGGATTTCAGCGTCTTGCTCGAACTGATTCTTGATAATCTGGATCTCTGCCGATAACTTTGACAACTCTTCACCTGAGGGCACATCAAAATACTGGAGCCTGGAAATATCTTCAGCAGTTTTTTTGCAATCCGGTGGCAAAATGTTACAAATAATGGCGTTCAACGGACGATTTTGAGAATCATTGGATAAACTGTCATTTTCTTGTGCAGCACTAACTGTCGGGGGGCCCTCGCCCCCCGAAGAGTCCCCCATGGTTAAGGTTAGAGGGCCAAGAGAAGGAAACTACCAGCCACAAAAACTGATATATAACTGGATGCGTTAAATGGACTCACCAAATAACAGAAAACAATAAAAATTAGGGCCGATGCCTAAAGATTTGCACAACAATACTCAGGTAGTCTTCACTCCTTCGCTGTTGTACCCAAACTCCATAGTGACAATATTAGTAGGGTGTAAAGGGCGAAAGTACGATAACACCAGCCCAAATGTCAACTTCAGCTGGTCGCGTGATAACTCACGTTATACGGTGGACCTTGCTAGAGAACTGATGCGGCTCTCACGACCGAACAATCGCCGGAATAGGCGATCCACATCCAGCTTGTCAACGGCTACGGACAAAGCTAGAAACTAAAAATTTCGGAATAATACGTTCTCCAATGGGATCTCCCAGGGAAACATTTGAGGACAATGTTATGAAACTAAAGGTAAGCAAAAAAGGAATATAAGAATTACTACTAACATAACGGACATAATTGACAGGGCAAAACTACAGCTAAATATACTGGGTATCAGCGATGTAAAATGGTAGGGACCTGGCGAATGTCCAACAAAAAACGGCATGTTCTGTTATTCAGGAAATGACTACGCAACCCATAGATATGGCGTTGGCATTATAGCGGGAAGAGGAATAAACAAATCAGTGTAAAGCTTTACACCATATTCCAACCGCATTATTGTGATACAGTTAAAAGCGACAAAGAAAAAATCAACAGTGTTCAAAAATATACACCACTAAGTTGATGAATCTGAAACATGTTCTAACATCTACTAAAAAAAAAGAAGTCATCGTAATTATGGGAGATTTCCATGCAAAAGTTGACTCGGCCACCGAAATGAGCGAGAGGAAAGTTTAATAGAGTTCTGTCAAAATGAAGAGCTGGTGATAATGAACACAATGTTTATATTACCAAATCGTAGGTTGTATACATGAAAATCACGTATGAATAGAAATCAAATAGACTACATACTATTCAGAAGCAGGTTTAAGAACCCTATCACGAAAACCTACCCGGGAGCAGATGTGGAGTTGGATCATAACCCTGTAGCGGTAGTAGTAAAAATGTGAAAAAAGTGAAAGAAAGTAAAACACAAAAATAACAGGCAAGCGTAGTAACACGCAAGAAAAAGTAAATGAAAATCTCGCAGACATCAGAGAAGAAAATGTGAACACTATTGATGTCCAGAACAGGTCGAAGAACATATAAGTTGCGTTACAGCGAGCAGGGGAGAGTACCCTAACTCTTAATAAAGTTAAAAAGCAGGAATGGATGACGACCGAAATTATGAACCTGATGGAGGAAAGACGAGACTACAAACCGAAAAATGAAGCAAAATACAAGGAACTGAATCAAAAGATCAAAAGAAAAATTAAGGAAGCTAAAGAGGGCTGGTTGTCCGAAAATTATTAGGAAATAGAAGAATACAAAAAAAGATATGATATTAAAAGATCAAGGCAAGCTTCCACACCAAAAGACACAAAGGGGAAACTCATTATTGACATGAAAGACAAAGTAAAGAGGAGGACAGAATACATAGAATAACTGTTTAAGAATGAAAGACCAATAATTTAAATCATACCAAATGAAACAAGCCCGGAAATATTAAAAAGTGAAGTAAAAATTGTCAAAACGGAAAATCTGCAGGACTAGATGAAATTGCCGTAGAATTACTGAGGTTCATAGACGATAGCACAATTGACACAATCGTCAACCTATTTAATACCATTTATAGAACAGGCATCGTTCCAGAAGGGTGGCTTTCATCAACGTTAGTCTCTCTCCCAAGAATGTTCAGAACTGTTGCATTAATGAATCACCCATTGGAAGTATTTCTAAAGATAATCCATAAAAGAATATTTAAAAAGCTTGAGGAAGACATGAGTGACACACAACTGAGATTTAGAAGTAGACTAGGAACATGGTAAGCAGATTTGGTGTGAATATTTTGATGTAAAGATGTCTAAATATAAACCAGGAGCTTTATGTGTGTTTTATAGATTTCCAAAAGGCTTTTGATAGGATTCGTCATGAAAAACTGTATCAAATTCTCAAGAGGAACAACATTGGTAGTCGAGATATTAACATAATAACTAAACCATATTGAAATCAGACAAGAGATAGGTTGACCGAAGACATTAGATCTGCCAAGGCCTTCCCCTTCTATTTAATTTGTTTAGCGAAGCCATATGTCAGCTAGCTCCGATGGGACAACATACAATATGCTGACGACACGTTGTTATTGGCAGACTGTTTGACAGACTTACAGTACTTACTCGAAAACATCAATAATTCTAGTAATACCCATGGGCTGAAACTGAATCTTTAAAAAACAAAATTAATGGTAATATAAAAAAAACCAACGGTTACTGTTGACTTGCTAATCTCTAGCACAAAAATTGAAAGATTCAAATCATACAAATATCTGGGGACCTTGATTACTGAAAATAACGAACAACCTGGAAAAATTAAATGTAGAATAGAAATAGCAAGACAGGCTTTTATTAAAGGTTTCTATGCTGTCGAGACATCAACTTAAATTTGAAAGTTTTGCTGTATGGTGTGGATGCATGGACTCTGAAACAAAACAATATCAAAAACATTGAAGCATTTGAAATGTGGTGCTATAGGAGAACGTGGAGGATATTATGGACAGAGAGAGTGACAAACGAGGATGTGCTGTCAGGAATGACAAAAGAACGTAAACTAATAAAAGCTATAAAAAGAAGAAAATTGGAATATATCGGTCATACAATGAGGGGCGAAAGATACGAGCTGTTGAGGCTTATCATCCAAGCAAGCATCAAGGGAAAGAGAGGGTAGGACGTAGGAGAAGGTCCTAGTTAAAAAATTTGAGAGATTGGTATGGATATAGCTCGATAGAATTGTTCAAATCTTCAATTGTTTGATGGGCACCCAAACGATTTATCTAAATACGTAACTCTTTGTCAAACTTTTAATGATAAATTTTATAATACTAGAGAACCTAATTGCTTCGAAAATATCTGTGTATTGAATTGTCTAATTAGTGAACAAAAAGGAAATGCAAAACTCTTTTCAAAGATCCGAAAAAATCAAAAAGATTGTTGATATATGTACTTGAATCTTTTTTTAATGCTATTACACCTTATTCAAACGTTGCAGCATAATCAAAATGAGTTGGCTGAAAGTATTTTCAAAAAACAACATTCTTCGAAATTAAAACATTCTCTCGAAATTAAGCCAGAGCTTCCAGCAAATATGTGAAAATGACAAATACTTAAAATCGGAGGTTAACCAAATAGCTCTAATTGTTCAAAAATCAGCTTATGTTTAGTAAAGATTTCAAATACAGATCATATTCACATATGAAGTTATTCACAATTTTACAAGATTTAGAAAATTCTACAACTTTCTTAAAATTAAAAAATATTCACCCAAGTATAATTCAAATTAAAGATTTGTTTAACAAGCTTTTTATTTTGCAAACTAAAGTAGGAAAACAACAAATGATTCTACCTGCAACTTTAGAAAACGCTTTTATTTTTGAAAAATTACTTCAATTAAAAATTACTTTCTTACAATACAATAACGTATATTTGCATCTCTATTCATTTCCCATAAGACATGAAGGTTGGTTTAGGGTTGTTTTGCCGCGTCTAAAGTATTTGATGAAAACAGAATTGCAATATGCATACCAGAATGAGCTATGCAGAGAAGCTACTAAGAACCTATACATCCGTATCCACGAAGAACTTAAGAAAAATGAAAATCTACAAAAAACAAACTGCCGTAAAACGCAACATAAAATCACCCAGCCAATTCAATCAATTGGAAAAATGCCAATCAATGGATTCTAGTAGTTCCCGAGGAACAAAAGGGTCAATTTAAATGTAACGCTCATGACGAACATCAAAATCTCCATCGAATATACCAAGTTAAACTTCCAAATAGATGCCTTATGAAATTTAATCATCAAATAATAAATAATAATCCTAGAACAATCAACTCCGGTATCGAACCAATAGTGTTTCCTCACCTGCTAAATATACGAATACAACAAAGTTCGTTGGACTTAACTATTCCTCTGAAGGGAATTAAATTAGATAAACTTAATAATTTAAGAGTTCCACACTTCTGAAGTTCTCGGAGTTCTCCAAATATCCAAGTATCATATCATTATCATAATTAGTCTTTGTGTGCTTGCATGCTACAAAAAGTTATTACAGTCAAGATGTGCTAAATCAACAATGAAGAGACCACCAACGAACGCTATTTTACATTTTCTGGGTAAAGATATGTTGTTGTAACGAACATCTTATAAAATTAAATAAATTTTTTAAAAAAGACGACGCGACGGTCGTCTCAACTAGTTCATTCATGTTTCTGTGATTATGCAAACAGTTAGTTTCAACTAGCTTTTTGCACTCGTCCTCTATTAATAATAGATTTATTCTAAACTATTTAACATTCGACTTTCCCTTAAGACGTAGAGCAGAAAATACTCTATAAAAACAGAATTTATCCCTACTTAAAAAAGTGTTCATTTTAGTTATTTGTAATATAAAATTGTTTCTCAAAAACCGGGATTTTAACTTCAAGAATACGCCGCTTTAGTCATAAGTTTTCGCGCTAAGTCTTTACGACAATTACTTTTCGAGATAAGGACGATTGGCTGCCATCTTAATAGTGATGCAAAATTCTTTAAAAAATTAAATGCAACAATATTGCATTTTGCACTGCATGAAATCCTTAATGGTTGAAAAATTACGATTTCACCAGTTGAATTAGATTTCTTTTTTTTATTTTATTATAACTAAATTTTCTGTCTTCGATATTTTGGGCTAGGACTAAAATGCCGAGATTTGATTTTTAATAAAAAAAGTCATATTGTTGCATTTAATTTTTTAGCGCTCTAGCGGCGTCACCATGAATTAGAAATATCACAGCTACAACGGATTTGATAGAGTAATAAATGCTTTTTCCAACGAAACCAAGTTGGTTAAAATCGGTTCTCAGTCCTATTAATTAAAAAAAAAAACAATTAATCATTCCCACTACTTTATTTTACTAGATACGATGATTATTATTACTTGGATAAATCTTAGCTATAAACAGCATGTAAATTTTGTTGGTACATTTACTACTTCAGTAATACATTTTTTTACCGCCAGTCTCGGCGACTAACAGTTTGCGAGATACAGTACTTCGCGTTCTTATCTGACTACCTTCGAAATAAGTACTTAAGCGCATAATTCAGGTATGTCGATAATATGTTGCTACGTAAATTCAGCCCTTGCTACCTATTAATCATTTTGGTTTATCTAGATTATATATTTAGTACTACTGACAAGATGGCACGAAAATATGCCGCACGTGTCATCCCAAATTATCTGAACGAAAACACACAATTACCAACTTTTTTTTTTAATCATAAACGTACGTATCATATCGGGAATTTGGTCTATCTGTTATACAATACAACAAAAATTTGTAAATTTGGTATTACTGAAATTAAAGTCCAAGGGAACTATCGTGGTAAAGTGTCTTTAAAACGGTCGTAATTTCGATCATACCGGAAGTTCGCCCAAGTTGCTTGTTCTCATTTTGTCTTGTCGCTGAGCCTTATCGTTTTTAAAATATTTATTTTCTATCAAAGACACCTGTAGATGGATGAATTTTTGTAAATTTTTATTGTGCTATGCCTTTTAATTTGAAAAAAATTATATATATATATATATATATATATATATATATATATATATATATATATATATATATATATATATATATATATATATATATATATTCTCACGTATTGATTCACGGATGGAAAAATGTGTTGACACTATATTCCGGGATATCATCCGTTCGCTCGTTGAACTCCGACTGGAATCCTGCATCCGACTGGAATCCTGCAGACGTTTCGCCAAAATCTCACTTGGCATCTTCAATGCTCGCGCTCCGAGTGTTCGAAGTGTTTTCGGAGCGCGAGCATTGAAGATGCCAAGTGAGATTTTGGCGAAACGTCTGCAGGATTCCAGTCGGATGCAGGATTTGCAGGATTCCAGTCGGATGCAGGATTTGCAGGATTCCAGTCGGATGCAGGATTCCAGTCGGAGTTCAACGAGCGAACGGATGATATCCCGGAATATAGTGTCATCATTATATATATATATATATATATATATATATATATATATATATATATATATATATATATATATATATCTATATATATCTATATATATATAAAAATATATATATATATATATATATATATATATATATATATATATATATATATATATATATATATATATATATATATATATATATATATATATATATATATATATATATATATATATATATATATATATATATATATATATATATATATATATATATATATATATATATATATATATATATATATATATATATATATTAACCCAAGACTTATTATAACTCTCTCACTCTTATCTACCCTTTTGTGTATGCTAGTTGCAAGTTTGAATAAAATTTTATTCCGCTCTATTGTGCAATTTTTGAAATCACTTTTCCGCTCTCCCCACATTTGCTTGGACTAAGGAGGTTTTTTTGTAAAATAGTAAACGTCAGTTTTTAAGCGGGTACACAAATAGATTTATTTACTTTTTAACTACGTTTTTCGCCAAGTCATTTTTTACATTGACGTACAGTAAACAATCTGAAACCCGTTTATCGCTAAAAAAATCTCGTCAGATATGAAATTTCAATTGTTTTCGCGTTTTGGGGAAATTATATATATAACAAAGTTTTGTTCAGTTAAAGTGTGTATCTGTATGTAATTAATATTAATAAATAAGTCATTTCTGTTCTCAATTCGAACTTTTCAAAATAAAATATCTAACTTTAGTTTTCTATTAGGAAACCCTTTTTCGCAGCAGAATTCATTAGAGCACAATTTAAATTGTTAATCTTGGTTTTACTGAATAACCGTTATGAAATTACAACGGGTCATAGACATCTATATGCTCTTTTATATTTTTTAAATTATATTATCATATTATACATCTTAATAATTCAACACTCACAACACATACACACACACACACACACACACACACACACACACACACACTCGCGCGCGCGCGGTTCAACACTATAACGGAGTAGCTATCATAATCAATAAAAATATAGAAGGAGCAGTAGCTGGATTTCTATCTATATCAGATAGGTTTGCAGCACTAAGAATGAGACATCCAACAATTTTACCATGATTTGAGGGTAACATTGAATGACCTTAAGAAAGAAGATATAACTTGGCTCCTTGCAGATTTCAATGCCAAAGTTGGAAATAGAGAAGATAACGTGCTGGGAAAATACGGACTTGGCACCCGCAACGATAGAGGAGATATGTTAGTCGAGTTTTGCATACTCTTGAATACATTCTTTAAGCTCCCACTTAGACGATTATACCCATGGAAGCCTCCGGCTGACAACAAGAAAATGCTGTAAAATCAGCGACATTAACTCTGAACACAATTTAATCCTCTCTGTGATAAGACGAGAAGAATAAATCTTCAACAGCTAATAGATATGCAGAAAATGAAAGACCCCAACATCAGACAACGTGTCAAAGCAACAACCAATAGAAGTCTTGAAGAAGCGAAAACGAAAAGTGAGCAGGGCATTGAGTAAAGCTGGAAAAGCATTAAAGGAGCTGCAAAATCTGTAACGGAAAAATATTTAACTCGAACAGAAGGAAAGAAAAACACAAAATGAATGACTGATGACATACTGAAACTAATGGAGGAACGTCGAAAATATAAAAACAAAAACCAAGAGGAATATAAACAAATACATAAAACTATATTGGGAAATATCAAACAAGCTAAGGAAGCATGGCTAACAGAAAAGTGTGAGTAGCTTGAGAAAAAGCACGACGCATTCAACGTACACAAGAAGCAAGGTACATGTCAAAAGGCAAAAAATCAAATATCATCAATGATCAAAATGGCAAAGCAATTTGGGAAACGGATGAAAAAATTAAAAGATGGGAAGAATATATGTCTTAACTGTTTCATGAAGAAAATTATGAGGATTCCAGAACGCATAGAAGTAAAAGAGATCATTAATATTACTTAAGAAGAAACAATCAAATCAGAGCGGAACTTCTTAAAGAATTGGAAGAGGACCACATGACACCCTATCAAAGTTATTCAATAAAATATATCAACATGCCAAGAGAATGGCTTCTATCAATTCCTAACTCCAGCAACGCCAAAAAATGCGAAAAACATCGCACGATTAGCTTTATGCGTCTTGTCCTGAAGGTTTTTTTTGTATATAACCCACAATAGTATACGCCCTCAAATAGAACAACATATCGGGGAAACGCAAATGGAATTTAGAAATGGCCTAGGTACCAGAAGGGCCTTATTTGGAATTCAAGTATTGATCCAAAGAGCTTGCGACATTAATTGCGAGGTGTTTCTTTGAATCAGTGATTTTGAAAAGGCGTTTGACAAAGTCCGACATAAAAAGGTCTTCGAAATATTACAGCCATCAGGAATAAAAAATGCTGATATAAGTATCATTGTCGACCTATATACTCAACAAAAAGCCATATTCTGAGTAGCAGATTCTACCGAAATAAATATACAAAAACGTGTCCGTTTTATCACCTTTATTATTTAAGTCTACGCGGAGCATCTCTTCAATGAAGCTTTCACTGAAAGTAAGGATGACTGGTTAACTGAGAAATGCTTATTACATATAATCTCAGAAGGTTTACAGAGATTAATCAACAGAATCGTAAATATATGTGAAGAATATGGCATGAGCTTAAACATAAAGAAGACCAAGATTATGATCAATAGCAAAAATCCAAACGCGAAAAACACTAAGCTCGAAAAAGTAGAAACATTTCCTTATCTTAGTTGCAGCTTGAACAAAAGATAGAAAAAGCACAATCAAATCTCCAAATACGACTGCGATTCCTCAAATGTTAAGTGTTCTCTGTAATGCTCTATGGTGTGGAGGTCTGGACTCTTACAGCAGCTACAGAAAGGCGAGTGGGGACATTTGAGATGTAGGGCTACCGTAGAATAAGACACATCTCATGGACACACCATTGAACTAACGACGCCATCCTACAAAGAATGAATAAAAATAAAGAACTCTTAAATACCATCAAGGAGAGTACATTATCAGAAATGAAAAATATCGAACACTCAAACTTATAACACAGGGAAAACTAGAAGGCAACGTTACACAACCTTAGGCAATGGACATCTGTCGAACTGATCAGGACGGCAGTAGACAAAGTTAGATGGGACAATATAATTGCCAAACGTCAACAGATGATAAGGCATTAGAAAAAGAAGAATAACTTATATTAATAAAGTGTCAAATTATCTTCCAATGGCCAAATTATTCCCTATTTTTCATTTTATTTCTGACAAGTGTGATGAACTCGAATTCGTTTCAAAAATCCAAAAACTTCATAAAACTTATTGAACGCGATCAAATAACAAGCTCCGCACTGCCTTAAGCAGAAAAGGAGTTTTTCTAATGAGGAGGAAAAAAAAATTGGATCAAAACAAAAATGTCTTTAATGCTATTAATTTCGAAAAATACAATCAAGTAAAGTTAAAAAGTTGATCTAGCTTCAAATCAATACATATATCTAAGCTACAATCACAAGTTATTATCACTAACATTTGCACTTTAATTTCACTAAAAAACATCACAAGATTACTTAATTTTGATTTTGTGGAGTTTCAACTTAAATCCCAGCATTTCCGATAAGACACCAGATAGGGCTGAAAGTATTACCAATTTGGTAACATTGTAAAGTATCGGATTGGCCGAAAAACCAGATATCTTGAAGGGATTCTCCAATTCCTAAATAAAAAATAGGTACAAAAAAACAATTGATTGGAAAAACTGTCATTGTCGGAATTACCTTTAGCAAGTCAATGGCCAGCTTCAGTACATTATTTGCAACTGTTAATTCTTCTTTCTTATGTGGTTTCTGTTCCATCTGCACATGCAAATTAATCTGTTCAGTAATAAGTACTGACAAGTTTCTGTACTTCTTGTTAATTTTGATACCGAGTGTCATAAACCGTAAAAGCATAATCCCCAATGCTAAACACCACACTATGGCCTCCAAGTAATACTGCGAAAATGATACTGTTTCCTAAAAATCGAAACCAATTTAACAATTATACTAAACACATGCTAGTTGAATGGTTTAATAAGATCAATATGAATGGGATCTCCCATTGCTATATTCCTATTCTGAGAGTATAAAATTTTAATACACAATGAAGACCTGTAAGGTTTTAATCTATTGTAGGTACCAGTAGCAGTAGTGGTGGTTATATCAGTCTTATGTAAATGTGCAACAGGAAAAGAGGATTGCGTAGTTGACTTAAAATATTAGTAAAGTTCAATCGATTCTTTGCAACAGTATCATAATTTGCTAATCGTAATTGATTTATTTTATATCTATATCTTCTAAAATACCATATCAATCTTATCAATGTTTTGTGTACTGTGCTTTCTCTAAGGCAATTAGTTTTTGGGTACCAAAACAGCAAAAGTGATGTGTGACGTAAGTGTCAAAAAAACGTCAAAATACCATCCGTGACTAAAACCTACAGAAAACATCCGATCGATTCCAACTCCATGATTAAAGTACCAGAAATATCAGAAATGACTCACGACCATAGATAACTCTCGATCACTGCGTAATTGGGTATTTTACGGTAGGCAGTACAAAAGCATTATTATATTTCATTTTATTTTAACCGTGGTCCCTAGCCATTTCTGACATTTCCGGTACTTTAGAGTCATGAGGTTTAGGATGTTTTAGTAGCTTTTAACCATGAAGGTACAAGTCATTCGGTGAATGAATACATGCTGTTTTGCGGTAATCTACCCAAAAACTAATATTTTTCAAACTTGTTCCATAACACCCCAAAATTTGAATATAACAATAGACTGCATATCTTGGTTGCTGGAAAACGGAATTTAAATCTCAATGAAAGACTCGTCCAGTTTCCGGAAAGTTTTTGCTAGACGAGTTCCATGACTAAGGCAATGGTATAAATAATTTTACAACTTAAGCAAAAAATTATTTGCCTAGAATTTCAGAACGCATATAGCAAAAACGAGGTCCAGACAAAGCAACGATAATTATTATCGCAATCATGATGTTTAAAAAAATTTGACATACCACATGTCAAACCGCTAAATAACACAAAACTGCCATCATTGAGATGATCTTCCTGTGTTGAAATGACCGTTTCCAACTTGAGTCACTTTAATTTCTCCTCTAAGGAAAAAAACCATGTTTATTCTTAACTCGCTAATATTTACCTTTAGTACTTCCGCGCATAAGAATCCTAAAAGCAATAGAGCAACTACAAATGCTGAAGAAACTATCACGTCTACAGATCGTTGTGGACCTCGCTTTTTTAAATATGACCGGACAGAAAGCCATGTCTTGATATTTCTAACCTGAAAATGTTTAGGAAAAGATAATAATTTAAAGTGTGTTGTATTAGTAACACACCTTATTGAGCCTGAAATGAGGAATACCTGACTTTCTTGCTCGCCGAGAAGATGTCAAGTGTGAAAATAGTTTCGCATAGAGTAAACGTTGTTTAAATGTTCTTTCTGCGACCGCCAACAAGAAAAATACAATGCACGCTAATATAAATCTTTCAATCATTGCAATTACTATTATCGCCCTTTCTCTATAAAAAAAAAAAAACAAAAATAATCAACTATAACTAGGCAACATGTAAAAACTATTAAAAAAAAAATTAAATGTATGAATGACCACAGAATTTAAAGACCAAATCTCATAATTTAAATTCAAACGTCAGACACTCGTTGTAGTAGTTGCAGCCTAAAATTCGAGAGAAATAGCTAAAAAGGTTTGGTGTAAAGTTCTTAATGTGCCACTGATTGTATCCCCATTGCCCGAAATTTGTATCTGCAGTGGATAATATAAAATAAACCATACTAAAAGCTAATTTCATTGCTTCTAAGAATACATTTTTGTTGGATTATGTAATGCTAGTTAAAGGCAAAACCTGTGACGTTATAATGGATTTCAATCGATACTTCCATATTTTAATTATAATTTTGAAAATGTCATCTCCTACAATTAATATGCATACAGAGGATAAGAACAATCGTTACAAACCAAAAACTAAATTTCATATGCTTTGGTTGAACCTTAACATCCCAACCAAACAATTCTCGCTGGTTCTGTTATTTTGTTCCCGCCAATTTATAAACACGGGCTTGTGGTAAATACACATTAATTATTACTAGTATCGTTTAAAAACTTTTGAATATTTGAATATTTCTTTCTTCAAAATTTCTTAAAAGAACCTTGTTTGGAATGTGTGTTCCAGGAGAAATCCATATTTGGATTAGAAAGGAAATGATCTGGACTCAACCAAACAAAATATTAACTCAACTTCTGGATGGAGTTCAAATCCACTAATTAATTTATATAACGCCCTGTATACATGAAAATTTGCGCAAACTCTCCCAAAAACTTACAAATTTGTAGATCCCCATGCCACATTACTCAACTGAGTCATCCTCGACGGCAGTTCTTCTGCAATGATAGTTAATGCAGTCAACGGCGACGCTGACATTACAAATTGGCTACTGACGTTGCGCCACATATCTATAAACTGATTCACTTCTGAAGTGTCTTCTGACAATTGGCAAAAGCACGGCAACAACGCCAGCATTGCCGATACAACAATGCCAGCGTAGAAATAATCGGACGTCATTAGGGTAGTGTCAACCTTGGCTATGATTGCAGAACTGATGTCCAGCATCGTCAGGTCAGCTTTTTTTATTTCATTCCGCTCCCATATTGTGCAGGTTGCTAAAACGAACATTAAATTTGTATCCGTCTCACAGAAAAGTCATAAATAGTATTTATAAATTACAAATGCTAAGAGAAAACTTCCAGAATTTTTTAAACTATAAAACCCGGTTCTTTTAATTAAACCAGAAAAAAACAATTTGCACAATGTACTATTTAACAAATAATTATTGGAAACTGCTTTCTACTCCCAAAGTGTGAAATAAATAGGATAGGTATTTGCCGCAAGCCAGTATTAAATATCTTAAGTTCTGATAGTTAGGCAACATGTAAAGCTTTTAAGTTAAGGAGTGAGATGTATTCTGTGCACCTCATCATGCAGCGTTTTTCGTTACTAAAAATAACTATTTAAAAACTGTAGACATTTTATTAAAATTCATTAAAAAAACAACAAAGCATATGTAAAACTAAGTCACTATGCCAACATAAATTTGAATTTTTAAAAATTTAAATGTGGATTCTCTCACCTTTAACAGATGGAGGATTCAAAAGGATATTTGTGTCACCATCCAACCAGAAACAGTCAGAACAACGTTCTGCAGGTGGGGCATCAGATACATCATCCAAGTCACTACTGCAATCTTCACTATTAGTGGTGACTCCAGCAGCCCAATCCCGCGGAGATGAAAGTGCTTCATTTTCTGTATCGCAAGTACTGTCCAATACAGATGTAACTGCTATAGTAGGTAAATGATGGGCTGAACTGCGTCTTTTGGACTAAAACAAATGGTCTGTGTTAACTTGCAGCTTAGAAGCATTTTGATAAAAATACCAGTGATTGTTTCTTGTAATTAAAACATGTCTCTCCTTCGCTTTCTGTATCAGTGGAGCATACTTTTGGTGTTCTGACGTCTTCTAGCTGTTGAACCCATTGTTCACATTTCTTACATGATGTGCAATTGGGTGATGGTTCATCATTAAGCTCATCCTTCTGATCTCCTTTTTTGCAGTGTAGACAGCTTCCATCTAAGCTGTCAGCATTTTGTTGCTCTTCTTTTTCCTCAGTTTTTATTTCTTCTACATCTATATGAGATGGTTTTGTATCAGAATGAGAATCTTGGGAATCAGTCTGGACTGGACAAAACAAATTGCATAAGAATCACTTTTTGAGAAAATTAAATGAACTTTTACCTTTATCTGTATGACTAGTTTCAGTAGGAACAATTTCTTCTTCGCTGGCTCTTGAACCACTTCCATTAAGACTTTCAAAACCATCATCATCAACATTAGCATGTTTAAACCAAGGCCTGAGATTTAATCTAAAGGATGTTATGTTTTGTATTTATTTACACTTTCAAAATAAGCAATTATATAACATTTTACATCATACCAGCTTTAAATGGCACCTGCTTTTATTTTAAGAGAGAAAGGCAGAACCAAGAAAATGAAGCAAAAACTAAATTGAATTTTATGGTAATTATGATAAATTATGAAAGTTTTTTTTTATCTTACATTTCACTTGATGTACCTTTTTTCTCGTAAAATATTTAGTAAAAAATGACATAAAGCAGCTATCCAAACTAAAACAAACTTGCTAAAATCCAACTCCAAAAAACAGAAAACAAAACTTACCTATATTTCTGTCTTACTAGATAAGAATTAAACTGCAAATTAAAGGCACCAATTCCTTGTGTTTTGGATCGGGAGAACCTACAAAAATTAAGAATCAAATCAATTAATAGTATCAAGTACTACATAACAGTACTAAAATGTACAATGTACACAAGTATCTCAATATCCACTATTTCAAAATTACCAGAACCAATAAGAAACAGTATCTGGTTTTGAAAGATGTGACTGTCACACTAACCAAATATACACATCTAGTTTCATTAGAAAAACAAAAAAGTCGTGTCATAAAATTCAACATAAACTCTTTCCTTATTATCAAAATAAAAAAGTGTGGTATAATAACAATTGTCAATATAATAATTTACACACCTCCTTCCAGACTCTGTTCTCAGGGATTCAGGCAAATCTTTAAACTGCAATTTCTTTCCACTTCTCCTCCTCCTATTATCTTGCTTATCAGGGATAGTGGCAACCATTTGTGAATGAATGAGAGTAAGTATCCACGCCATAAGTAAAGGAACAAAGATCTCCATACAAGAAACTGCCTAAATATCATGTGTTGACAAATAAAACAGTTAAAATAGAATAAACTTTTACCTCAGCCTGTGATGAATATTTAAGGCAATAATTATAATATATTGCGGCATTTATGATTTGGGTTAAATACAAGGACAAAGCCAGAACAAAAAATCTCCGTGAGGTTTGGTGTAACCACCACTTTCCATAAAAGGGAAGAAACAAACATCTGAACGTAGCTAATTTAGCCACTTTCATGAAACCCTGCTGAGGTTTGGCTTTTGTAAAGGAAGATCCTATAATTAATAACAATTCAGCAAAACAAAACTCTGAAAGTTAACCTTTCAAGTACCTCTAACCAAATCTAGATCAATCAACTCTGTATTGGGTTTACCACTTCTCATTTGAACATGATTCAAGCTGTATATTCTCTGTTCTCTTTGTTCTATCTTCGTTTCCCATAACTGCTTATCATAAGTACCAATCTTGTGCTGATACCTTTAAGAAAGATATATTTAAATAAGTTTTATACTTATTTATTTTTGTTGCAATATTTGCAATGTTAACTAATAAAACTAAAGAATTCATTAGGTATGCAAATCTAAAAAAGTCAATAAAAGAGAAAATTACACTGAAGCTTTTTGTATTTTCAAAAAAGTGGGTTGCAAAAGCATAGCCATTATATAAAAAAAAGTGGATAATAATTTCTGAAGAATTAAAATATGAATGCAAACACAACGAAATTTTGTGTATACTCCATATCCTTATACACTTAGGAAAGACTAATAAATCCATCAGAACATAAACTTACCATAAAAATATATCTTCAATACCCATTTATTTTTATCCGTATAGTTTAATAAACTGTCATTACTCCAATGATAAATCAAAAAATTTACTGTGAATTTGAAAAAAAACCTTTTATATTACTTCACAACAATGAACAAAGGATTAGTCGATAAGACAGAAAAGAAACGCTCAGCTGATTGTTGTGAGCTTTCGCCGAGAAGGTTAAAAGTTTACGAGGTCACACACACAGACCACAAATCCAACAAATCGAGATGAGGTTAATGAAACAAGCTTTTTAAAAGGTTTAAAATTTAAAATCTGCTCTTCAAAGAGTAATTAAGAAACCTTTTATGACAATTCAGGAAAAAAATATATCTTTTAGCACCTCTGGAAAATTGCATTAGCAGCAGTGCCAAAATTTAAGAAAAAGAATACTTTAGAACTACAAAGAAAACCGAAACGAACTATTCTCCTGGTCACCAAATACTTTACTGGTGGTATTATTAATATTTATGAAAATATCCCTTTAGTATTCTGTAGTAACGTACTATTCTGTGATTTATGGGTTATTTGTTATTTGGAAGAAATATAGGTTATATTTGAAAACGTTGGAAAATGGGGTTTTCACTTCGAGGTTTCTGAAAAGCAGTAAGTTTTCCTCATTTAAGAAAGCAGTTTTGCTATAGCATTCCGTCCCAATAATCGTGCTTGATTTTCACTTATTAATATTATTATTTTTGTTTGTAGGTACGTGTAACTTACCTATGTAGATGAATTTTTGTATTCATATGTACAAATTTACTAAGACTATTATTAGTATGACCTAAGTTAGAATAACGACATCACTACAAAATCGACATGAAATTTTAATAATCTTCACCTAATACCATTTTATCTTTATAACACTTATGTTTAAATGTTTGCAATAAGGAAAATGGTGTTATTGATCTAATATTTGCCTATACATAAATGATGGTTTTCTACTTTATCATTTTATAGTCTTTTGTCAATTATGTTGTACTCTAACTACAATAAACAGCCATTTCTTGACTTGTTTTTTGCATGAGCACTAACTCTCAGTTATTAATCTTTTTTTTTTAGGTGATAATGGGTTGGCAACTTGAAATTGCTAAAATGGCAATGTACTTGGCATTTCCTGTTACCATGTTTTATTATTTCAACCAACCACAATTGTTTGAGGAGTGGGTGGTGCAAACAAAGCGAGAAATATTTCCACCTGAAAATGAAGAACAAAGAAAGCAATTTCGTGACACTTTCAGGTATATACAAAATAAAAATGCTGGGTTTGGGGCCAATGCAGAGCAATAAACATCTTTAACATTTATTGCTAAATAAAAATGTAAACATTGCTACAATGTGTTGAAATAGTTATCAATGATTGTTATTAGACTAGTTTTAATATTCAGTTTGGTTTTATTTGATTAGCTCACCATAATCACTGTGATGACCAGTTTTTTCTACAAGGCGCTAGAATTATAGTGCTATTTACATTACCACAAAAATAACATTAAGTAAATTTTTGCTGACAAATTTCTTGGTGATAACATTTTCTTGACTTGACGTGACAATTCACACAGTACTGTGACCAAGACTGATTTAGATTGCCCGCAATTGTACGAAATTACCGCAAAAATCTCAAAAACCTAGTAAATCACATATCAAAACTTTAAACTTGTTGCAAAATCACTACACAATCTGGCGAAGTCCCGAATAGAATCAACCGTCGACTCACAGCGCCCTAGAAAGATAATGATTATTTTGCTAAAGATGATGGTGATGAATGGGATGATGGGATTTTGTCCCAATGACAATTTAGAACAGTTTTCTGCTTTAGCAGTAGGTTGGAAATATTTTTCTTGAAGTAAATGTGACCTTTGGTAGATGCATAGGGTTCTGATGATGTTACTCTTTTTTTTTGTTAGCGATCTGTCTCATATTTGGAAATGTGTTAATTGGTATTTATATATGGATGATAGTTTGAGATTTGTAATTCAGACTCAATATTTGGAACAAAACTTAAAGATGCACCATTTGGGGAATGAAGAATTTAATATTCAGCAAATTTTTCATACATCCTTGACTTATTGGTGTTGCAAATTAAGAAACAAGAACTTTAATAACTGAATTTGCTAAAAACACCTTATTTAGGTTTGAACAGAAAAATATCTTGTTTTGGATTTTCTTAAACACATACTGATTTGCATTAAGTACTGTCACAAATGTGCTATAATGGTGGTTAACAATTTATTAAAGGTGGAGTATGTAGGAAGTTGTAGAACAATCTTTTGGGAGTATTGATCGGTTTACCATTACCAACTACTCATATCATTCACAATATCTCTTAAGTCAAAAATTAATTCACTAACTAGAAGTTTTAAGTTACTTAGTCATTTTTGGTTTTTATCTGCTTGTATGAAATAAATACTCCCACTGAGGCCGGAATTGTTGTTAGTCCTAAAAGCAATCTTTGCCGAAACGCTAATGAAAAAATCCCTGAAAAAAATGGCGCTATAAATTGTGCAATCAGCGGCAAAGTTTCGAACGCGCTAATTATTTTTCCCCTGTCTTTTTCATTGGCCCTGGTTGTGATAGCTTCTGTAAAGGTAACATCCACAAACGATTTGGACATGCTTATCGCAATCATGCAAAGTCCTATTACGTAAACTGATGGCGCCAAACTTGTACCTAAGAATGCTACCGTCATTATTAGGCTGCAAGTCATTATAATGTAGTGATCGTTCATTTTAGCAAGGCGGTCTTTCAACTTCATCTTCAAAATTCCGGACAGAATTATAAAAACGGAACTAATCATAAAAAAGTAACCAGTGCGACGTCCTTGTATTCCAAACTCATTCAGTAGAAATAATCCAATATTCGTGGTTAGCCAAGCCAGGCTCACCTCACTCGCTGCTTTAGTAGCAAAAATATCGCCATAGTTTTCCCAATCTATATTTTTTAAATTCATAATTGCATTTTGTAATTCCGTTATCGATTTTCTCAGATATGGAATATCTGAGGTTTTTTTATTGTTTGGTTTAATAATAAGATCATTGGGCAATTGAGCCAATACTGTTCCTATAACACGAGTATTTTTATTAACCCATAGGTTTGATGTGCGTATTAGACTTACCGGCAGATATTGCATATGCAATAGAAACACATAGGAAAATAACTGTAAAACCATACTTAAGTTCACTGATGTACCCACTTATACCAGCGGATAGTAACATAACCAACCCTGTGAGTGGTAACAATTTTTGGAAAAATAGTTTAGTTTCTTGATCAGATTTCATTACATCTGTAACGGTGGCTCTTAAAAGAATATTTACCGGACTGGCAAATGCTAAAAAATCAACATTGTATTAAAATTATTATAATTTGTATTCCGAATTATCCAACGTATTGAATATTCCCAAAAAGGTATAGAAGAAAACTATAACAAATAGGACACTGAAATAATATTTAAAAAAAAAGCAGTGACAAAAAGTCTTCATAGTACCTCTGTGTGAGGTAATTACTTAGCGGTATATTATTTATATATTGGAGGGACCCCATTTGTTAAAGGAATGTCCCGGGATGTAAAGGAAGTAAATGTAGGTTTAATCTGAATTAATCAAAAGTCAGATATTATTAAAACATGAACCAGCATGTCATGGTCAACCTTATCAAACACTGCGAAAGTCCGTTTCAATAGCGTGCACATCACACCCTCTCCTACAGAGCCTCAGAAAGATAGTCCTTAAAAAATAAAAGACCTTCCAGGAATTAAGCTATATTGCTTTTTCATAAAATTTTGGTATGTAACAATGTGTCTATAGTTTTCTATGCGGTTTTTTACTTTCATATTTCTGGATCGTTGTTATGAGGTTCAATCAAGGTTAATTTTTGATATTTTAAATGCTCCAAATTGAAACGATACTGGAGAGGAAAAAAAGTTTTTCATCAATATTTTTTTATTGACGCGCTCTTAAAACCCATCTTATGATATGTCAGATATTTTAAAATTGCATATTGTTTTATCTGATGTATTTATTAAAACAATGCATGTTAAGAACTTTTTGTGTAACGCAAATATATAAGTATTTATTTACTAACCCCTGTGTTTTGGTTGATATCTGTCACGAATCTACAAGTCCGTGATCAAACCTACCTGCCATTATTTTTCCTACGAACATAATCAAAATGGAAGGTGCTGAGGCCAATATTAAATTTGCCAAACCTCCGACTAGCAAACATCTTACGAGAATTGCGCGCCTTCCCTTGGTATCACTCAAACTACCCTATAAAATGGAATCACGTAAATTCAAAATTATTTTTTTTTTTTGATAATTTTGATAATACTTACTACTATGGGATTATTTAATAAACTAACAAATGCTGCGCATGAATTGACCATGCCTTGTGTAAACGGCGATCCTCCGAGTGATTTGATGTACGTGCTAAAAATCGGTAATGGCATAAACACGCAGAACACATCCTGAAACATATATATCACCTTTTAAAAGGCATGAAGGTTGAGTTTGAAGCAATTGTTTGATAGAAAGACTGAGTGGTGGTTATGAGAATTACTACAAGTTTCAGGTAAAAAAAATATACGAGTTTTCTATCAAAACGTCGAATTCTACAGTCGCAAACTACAATAACTTAGAAACTTACTATACTTGTGAAGAAGCCTGACATATAGTCTTTATAAACTGCGTGCATTATGCAGTGTGGGCATTTTTTATTTCGCATATTATAAAATTGTTTTTTCTACTGCCTACTCTAAAATTTTGAATTATGCACAAGGGGGTCACTTTAGAACGTTAGCTTCATTATTCACTGTCACGGGCCACTTCGGGTATTTCCGGTACTTTAGTAACGGGTTTGGGAGCGATTTAATATTTTCGATAAATTTAAAACACTGGATGGAATTTTGAAGTTTGACAGTTCTAATAAACACGTCACTCAATGATAGTCCGCTGCGCTCCGCTCGTGCCAAATGAAACTTCTGGGCCGCCCAGTACTACATTTAAATAAATTTGACAATTATTTGGCATTCAAAATTAAATATCTATGACGGTAGTGCATTATCTTAATTTTGTGTACGCAACTTATTTAACTTTAAGTGATTATCCATAAGCCCGAAAATAGAATAGGAACAGAGTAGACAATAAAAGCGGAAAAATTGAAATTACCAGTTTTCAATTTCTTTTGCGGTTTTGAAGTCTTTTTTAAATTTTATGGTATCTTCTTTTCTTCTATATTTTATACTGGGATATGGTTATCAGTAGACTAGGTCTTATTTGACTACATTTTTATGAAAAAAAAATTATTGCAATACAATCTGCAGTTTAGGGCGGGCAGTTCTCCCCCTCTCAAAATAAAAAGTAGTAAATAAAGTACATTAAAAAAACAATTTATTATTGGAAACTTTCAGAAAAAATATATAGAAATGAGATTTTTTGTAAAAATGTTTTTTTCTATTAGTTTTAAAATGTATGTTTTTGTACATGTCGAAAAATGTTTCATTGCTAATATTTCGAAATCTGCAACTTTTTGTTTACAAAGACACGATTTTTTTAATGCCAAATATAATAAATTTATAAAAATACGATAGTACCGTTTGAAAAAAAAGACTCAACGATTTTTTAATTGGAGTTTTTAATGTTTATTTATTTTTAAAATAATAACAATCACTCGTCTATAAATAAATCAACCCTAAGTATATAACAAAGGTTTTCAGTCAAAGAAATCGATAGAAATAGGTATTTAGGCAACCACACGTCACTTTTGGCATTAAATTTAAAATATATCAGAAACTGCAAAACTTGGGTATAGGTTTTTATATATAAAATACATCTAGAAAGTTCCAAGGAATTAAAAAAAAACTTTATATATAAGCGTATTCTCTTTAAATAATATATAAGTGAATCCAAACAACTTTTTTTAAAAATTAATTTGATCCACTCGAGTACTCAATATATATTTTGTAGAACAGTTTTCGCTAGGCTTCGGCTTTGGCGTCTTTGAGGTCACAAAATTATAATGCGACCATTTATATTTAATATATATATATATATATATATATATATATATATATATATATATATATATATATATATATATATATATGCCTCGCATGAACTTACGAAACGATGGACTTACCAGGGCAACCAAAAAAAATAACGCCTTCATTGTCACAATTCTCTCATTTTTAAGAGGTAGGTACTTTATTATGCACTATTTACGAGAATTTATTTACTCGTTTTAAACGACACCGGCAAGAATTTTTTGTAAAAAGTATTAATTGGTTACGAGTGTTTAGCGTAGTCGCTTATCGCACACGATAAAACCTATAAACCAAGTGGAAAAATAAAATTTCAAATTCACGCGATTATGGTTTGACGAAGTTGTATACAATATAAATAGAACGCAATATCTATGATTCGCTCAAACATTTGGTTTTCGAACCGTTTCAGGTACGTTGTAACCGCAAGAATGTGGTTAGCAAATTAAACGTCAGATGATCTCGCCGATATGCATGAGATAGATGTATGCGCAGTTTATTAGCGCAATCCAGTTCGATTAGATAAATTGCACTGCTTCAACCAAAAGCATCACCAAAAACGTGTGTGTAGCGGCAGTCTTCAAGCGAATTCTTCATATTTTTATTGAATGTACTAGTCAAAGGCCAACGCCAAAAATTCATTCAAGTCTGATTTGGCTTATACTTGCAAAAACACTCGAGAACAAAAGCCGTACAATAGTATTATATTAATTATTATATATTATATATATTAACATATACAACAACACTTCGCTGTTCGTTACTTGGGAAGAGGTGTTTTCAGTTTAGTGTTGCTTAGCTTGCTCATAATTTTACAGCAAGGGACTAGTCTTCTTCTTGTAGATTTTACCATGCAAAATTAGGACAAGTATTCTACCGACTGCGCGTCTGTTTCGGTTTAGCTGAGGGTTCTTTGCAGCATCATTTTCTACTACTCATGAAATTTCTAATTTGTATTGATTGTTCAAAAAACAAAAATTCGTTCGAACTAATTAACAAGGTTAACGACATTAAAATTCCGCCTAAGGCAATTTTCTAGTTTCATTTGACTTCCAAAATCTATTTCCTAGCATTCCACCAATTGAGGTAATAAACATAATAGACAATATTTTCACTCAGAGACAAGTCAACCCTATCATAAAACCAAACTTGCTAGATAGTTTAATAGTTTGTTTAGACCTAAATTGTTTTGAATTTTATGGTCAATTTTATATTGCTAAAGAAGGATTAATTATGAGGAAACCCACTTAGTCCACTACTTGCAGAAATTTTCATGGACAATACATAAACATCCTCCGAGCAAAGGATTTCTTTGGTGGTTTAGATACGTAGATGATGTTTTTGCTTGTTTCACTGGAACGGAAAGACAACTGCAGTCGTTTAACCTTTCGGAACTTTCCTCATGCACACAAAATGACTGCCTATTATGCTTTTATCCACAGACTGCTTAATATACCACTTTCCACAGAAAATACACCGAACCCAAAATGCATAAAACAATAAAAATCTAAATTTGTTCTTAAGATTGCTTTTAATGTTGATATGCTCCAAAAGGTGATAACTGGTTACTCATGGGTACATGGTTATCACGTCTACACCAAAGCCCAGTCGTCCCAATGGAAGAACCCAGAATCGCCAAGACCGGAAAAAGCACTTCAAGTTCAATCAAACTTTGCTTGCTTGCTTGGCTTTGCTTACTGTTTTCTTTGATTATTGTGGCGTAGTACATCAAGAGTTCTTACCACAAGGTCGTACGGTCAATAAAGAGAGTATTGCTGAGTAAACTGAACACACCGTAGGATTTTTTTTAAAAATAATAAAACTAAATCAGGAAAAACTCAAAAATTCGGAGTCTACAAGTTGAAACGTGCTCACGTGTATTCTGGACAAACAGGTAGAACATGTAAGAAACGCATTAACGAACATAAAAGGGCGTATAAGAATAAAAGTTTGGATTCTAATTATGCAATTCATTTAAATTCAGAAATGAGTTTGACGATAATTTTGATATTTTACATAATCAATCAAAAAGCAAAAAAAATAAATTTGTTAGCTGTTTTGTTGTCAAATTTGTGCCCATTCATTCTATTTTTGAGATACTGACTCGTTTGTTCAATGTACACACTATCGCAACCCGAACATGGAACTTCATATACTATGTTACTTCTTTTTTCATCTGGTATTTTTGCTTTAATTTTAGAGAAAAATTGTTTTTGCAAATTGTGACCCTTATGACCTATTTTGACGTCATGTTCCTTTAGAATACCTTGGATGGTTTCGGATAGACCTGCAATGTATGGTAACGGTATATATTTTGTTTTATTGTTTTGAAATTTGTGATTATGTTGAAGACCGTTGTAGAATTTATGAATTCTTTTTTTAAAAATTTTGTCTACTAGATTTTGCGGGTAACAGTTTTGTTTAATTTCGTGCCTGGCTTTTCCTAACGCTTCATTTCTAAATTCAGGATCGGACAGCATAATTGCCCTATCTGCCAGACCAATTACAACAGATTTTTTTTTGGGCGATGGTGTGGTTCGATTCAAAATGTAGGTACCTAGTAGATTTGCTTTCTTTAGTATACCAACTCGTTTTTATACTATTTTTACTGCGGTGCAAGGTCAAATCTAAGAAATTTATTTTGTTTAGTTCCTCTATTTCGACTTTAAATTGTAATTTATGGTTAAATTTATTGAAAGGAGTCTTGTAATGATTTGATTTTGTTTTTTGGGACCGCAGTAATAGAGTCATCGACATAACGGAAATAAAAGGGTAAATTAAAATTTAGATTTCTGAAACTGTTTCTTCTAAAAATTCCATAAGTTTCTGGGCAACTACACTTGAGATTACCATTCCCATCGCGCAGCCTTCTATTTGTTTATAAAACGTGTCTTCATATTCACAATTTTTCTCTAAACTTAAAGCAAAAATACCAGATGAAAAAAGTAGTAGCATAGTATATGAAGTTCCATGTTCGGGTTGCGATAGTGTGTACATTGGACAAACGAGTCAGTATCTCAAAAATAGAATGAATGGGCACAAATTTGACAAAACCAACAGCTATTCATACACACTGTAGTGAAACTAAACATTCATTCGATTTTCAAAATGTAAAGATACTGAAAACAGAGCCTAATACTAAAAAAAGAGAACTCTACGAATCGATAGAAATTCAAAAAAAACAACAATCCATAAACTTTAAAACCGGCACAAAAGTCGTTAGTATAATTTACCATACAATTCTGATCTAAATATAAAATATAATCTAAAAACTAAATAAATAAGGGTAGCTGGTATAAAATTAAATCTAAAGTAAAAAATGAAGTAAATAAATAACATCGCCGGGGAAAAAAACGTACTTTCGTAGTTCTGCTTCGCATGCCAATTGATATCTCAGTCCGCACGATAGATTCGCAGACACGCGCATGCAAATTGTTATTGTCAATATTTACACCGTTTGTATTTGTTTTACAATTTTATATCTACAGTTTTATTTCGTGCCGTCGTGTGTTGTATCTAAATGTTTTTATTTCTACATCGATTTTAAAATTAGGGTAAGTTTTATTGTTCTCGCTCTCGTTGCCTTGTATAAAACCCAGTCAATTTTTAAGATATTTTTGAAAAAAGACCGAATACACCGGTCGAAACGTTAAATAAATTTATTATGAATTAGAAACTTTCTTCTTTTGTTTTACGTAACGGACCATAATATATACCCAAGAAAAAAGTCTTTATTATATATATATATATATATATATATATATATATATATATATATATATATATATATATTGTTGCTGAAACAGCTGTCTGAAATCATTATGTTAACAATTCCTCACGTCGATTTTTCATTATAATTAATTTCTCGAATTGAGTAAAAAAATTTTAGGAGTGTATTTTATAAAAAACTATTCACAAAAGTAATACAACCTAATACAAAAAATGTTCGTATAACAACTCAGATCTCTAAAATCCACTTATGCTGATGACGGATGCCTTCTTTATCCTTTCCATGTTGGGCTTCATGGGTGAATCCCAGGACTGTCTACTGGCCGAGGCAAATATTGCATACAAAGTCGATGTAATGACATAAACACCGGCCGCAACAAAAAATATTATTTTCCACGAAGATCCGTCAGTCTAGAAAATAGATTCAAATGTGCTACAGAAAATATATATAGCCCGAAAGTTCACTATACAGTTGGTCTGAGATAAGGATATCAATGGCGGGGATATTGGAAACCATGGAGATGATTATCGTTGCCACCTTTAGAGCTCTACAAGATAGCGTTGAGAGATTTCGGCAAAATAGAAAAGAAAAAATCGAAACATCGAACTTAAAATCTCTTAACGCCCTCTTGTAGAGCTGCGAAAGTGGCCTTTATTTTTGTATATCTTAAAATAAAAACGAAATCGGCAAATTTTGGTTGTTTTTTAGCGTATCTTCGGAAGTGATAGGAATTTTGTAGTTTCGTATCGTATGGTTTCCAATACCCCCATGATATCTTGAGACACTGTATAGTCTACAAGTATACAAGCGTATTTTGGATTAATGTGATTGGACTCGATTACTCACTTGGTCTTTAACGACAAAATTCACCATTAAAGGCGAGAATATGGCTATGGATTGCGACACCCCATTGCTAAATCCTTGCATAATGCCTGAAAATCTTGGCGAAAGGTCGATGTGGTTTATCGATGCTCCACATAGAGTCGATGCGTAACAGATGTAGGCGATCGCAAGCAATAGAATCGATAAATAAGCTTGATCTTTAGTTATAAATCCGAGGACAACAAGGCAAATAGCTTGTCCGTAGCATCCTAAAATGATGGTTGTATGATAATATTGGAGTTATTACTAAATAGTCCGCTAGACCAACATTAAACGCAACATATTGCCAAACTAAATTTTTTGGAAAATAATTTTTGTTAAAAAATGAATAAAATTATACAACATTGGTATTTCTTAATAGTAAGCTAATGATTAAAATTTATATTTATTGGTATTTGTTTGTCAATCATGTTTTGTGTATTTACTTGTGTGTTAGAATGTTATCGAGTTTGACTGCATTTTAAGCACACATTGCATCGAACAAATTTCGTAAGTCGATAAATATATACCGAAAAATATATTTTTATCAAAACGATATTACACCGGTATGCAGAGGATTGACTCATCATTTTTAATAATGAAAACAAGTCCTTGTCTGGATCGGCGATAATTAGCAGCGAACCTGATAGCCACGGGTATATTTTATATTGCCAAAGGCACATCAATATCGAAATACCAAAAACACATTTTTTTTTCATTGGATTTCGATCGGTGCAAAGCACTTGTTGACGCATATAGATCTGGGATTTATCAATTAAAATATTGAATCATATCAAAGTAGTAAGTTAGTTAGATAAGAGTTATTACTAGGTTAATGTAGCGCAAACATGGCTTAAGATAAGAAACCCAAAATTATGGCGACAGAAACTCCATAGCAGCTAAGTCGCAACCAACAAGAATTTTGAAAAATATTTTAATAACTCTTCCATGAAATCGAAAGACAAACATTTTGAAATTTATACAGAGAGATTCATTACGGAGTGGCAATACAAAAATATATTTGCATATGGAAACATCACATATATCTTGCATACTGCAATTCCTCCTAAAAATATTTATATGAGACCGCCATTTTTTTTTTATCTGAAAGCCACATTATTGGAAAAAAATCTTCAAAATTTGATTATTTTATGGTAAAGCTGTTAAATTTAATTCGATTCTTGAAAAATATTGTATGCAACGCGTGGAAAATAGCATGTTTGTGGCAGTCGGCACTCTAGCAGCTCCCAACTTCCTGTCGAGTTGAAAAATTTTTGTTTCCAACAAACAAATATACACTTTTTACATTAGTTATACAAATAGCTATTGTCTAAAATATTACAAGCACAAGCGCGCCGAATGGGCTGGACCCAGCTCTGGCCCGGTCCTGCCTAAGCTCCAGGAATTCCGGCGTACACAGAAATCGGAGCGATATCTCACACGCTGCTGCTTAAGAAGACAACTCGATTATTCGACCCCTATGGTGCAGGCGTTGCGAAAAGAGAAAGCATTGCAGCGCGGGAATATAATTAGCATTTAGTTAGCGACTTTGTTAATTTGGATGAAGTAAATTTTAAGTTCCGTTTCACACAAAGCGACTTGTTTAATTTCACCGTCGCATTTGACAAACCCGAACAATTTTGTGTAACAATGTAACAACGTAATTGCCCAAGGACCTGTTTTTATCTTTGTTTTGTTTTATTAATCGGATAAAATATTTGTAATTTTCATATAGATAATCGGAGTGGAACGTCGCAAATTTAACATATTTAATTGCGATTTCATCTATTTACCTATTAATTACTTATTATTATTATTATTATTATTATTATTATTATTATTATTATTATTATTATTATTATTATTATTTACCTATTAAAGTGTTAACCAAATTTTTAAGTAGCTTACCAAACACGTGAAAAATTCTCCTCGCATTTAGCGTAGTTAGTTTTTTTTTTTCTGACAAAAAGTCCGCAAACTGCCCAAAAGCGATACCGCTGACCATACCCACTGCCGGAGGTATAGCATTTACCACGCCGTTCTAAAAATAATTCTGGATACAGTTTTACCGGTAATGCTTTCGATTTACATTATCTTACCGATTTTATATCAAATTTCATGACCTTCGTTAGATAGGTGGGAATTTCGGTAATCAGCATATTATACCCCCACGCGTTCCCAATGTTAGCCACGACAATTGCCCAGAAATGAATGCACATAAAAATCTTCATCCATGGTGGCGACCCCTAAAATGTCTTTATTAAAAGTGGGCATCTATGATAGTCCGATGGCTTACTTCCGAATCATGTTGTTGCCCTAATGACAATTCGATATATCTTTGCTCTTCTTTGCTAATTCCTGGGTGAGCTGCTGGGCTGCTGTGTCCAAAGAACAACCACATAATACACCATGAGACTCCAAGCGCTCCGAAAAGGTAGAACGAGAGGGGCCAACCCATCCACGATGAAGAAACGTAACCAGTTACTATTGATGACAGAATAGTTCCAAAAGTAACACCTACAGGAGTAAATGTTCTGTTGTCGTATGTATGAATTGTCGTTATTACTCTGAATACCCGAATATACAATAATGCTTAATCTTGATCTTTCTTCGGTCGGAGCCCATCTTCCAAGGAGATTATGCGTTGAAGGCCACAAGAATCCCTGGGACAACCCTTGGCCAATTCTGCAAATTATAACTCCCATCGAGCCCAAACTGTCAGCGGCAAGCGGAATCATTGTGAAACAGATTGTGTTGATTACATAGGACCCCAGTAGGAAATATTTAGGACCGTATGTTTTCCCAAGATAGCCTGCTAAGACTTGGAGAACGATGTAACCCCAGAAAAACGACGACAGAATGACGCTGGTGTTGTCCCAGTCATAAGCCTGAAATTTGTAACTAAGATATTATTAATTTGGAGACTGAAAATATAAAAATTTAAAATCTTTCGAATAAAAGTTTTATCAAGAAAATATTCTCGAACTAAGAAGCTGCAAATAGCTAAACATTATTAGCTCAATGTTAAAAGTTTTCGACCAAAATTAATTTTACGCCGGCACATACAAATTTAATCAATTAGTAGTTTGCTCAATTTATATCAATAAAATTAATATTTCAATTTTTGGACAACCTTGAAAATAAATTTAAACAATTATATATTGAAAGTTTACCAAGTTGTATTTTAATACCCTTTAAAACAATTTTATACATTATTATTACTATGTCGCTTACCGGTACGTCAGGGTTGGGTGATGTAGTATTATCCGTCATTGCCACTATAGCAATGGAAAGATTCGTTCTCATTGCAAACGCAACAGACATGCAGACAAACATCAGAGAGACTTGAATATGTCTTGAGCCAAATTTAGGACCTGTGAAGGCATAAAATCTTGATCCTCGTACTTACAGATACTGCCAATTTACCTCTATTATCAAATATTCGAAATACGCTGGCTCTGTGTCCAATTTCATCTTTGTCTGCTGCCTTTCCTTCTTCTGTCGACATCTTGATTTCCTCTATATGCAAATTCTTTGCTTCTTTTATCTTCAAAAGGATTAGATTTTTGGGAGCAGACCTTGAAGGGCATCGGTACGGCTTGTATTATTTATTCATCTTTATACTTGACCGAGTGGACATAGCAAATAAAAGACTTTATAAAGGTTTGACTTTTTATACTTTATCCTAAGTTTTCAAGTATCGCGGTTATCGTTCTTTGAAAATTAGACAATATGCGCTTATCTAATCAGAATGATGTTGTATTTGGTAATGATTGGTGAGACATCAGAAAAGTTATGGAAAAAACCAACAAAACAAATTCAAACAGCGAGGAATCCCTCCGCAATTGCGCTTTTGCAAATGGCCTTCTTGCTTTGCCAGTTCAAGAAAGTCACTGAAAAGTAGAGGCGTGAAAGCGGTTGCTTGAAAACCCTTTTTTTTATTCCATTTATTTTAAAATTGCAGCTGTACAAGCTCACATTTTAGAACGGTTCCAAGTGATATGGTCAGGTAAAACGTCCCGCCTTTGTTAGTAAACTACTTGGATATATTTTTGTGTCAAGGAGTGGATTTGCTTTATTAATATATTGTTATTCTTTTTAAGTTTCTTTGTGGTAATCTATTTTCTGAGATATTTATGTTTCGTCGATTCAGCTCCCTAACTTAATGCTTTTGTTAGTAACACATTTTGCCATCCAAAAAAAAAAACCTTTCTTAACACTTTATACCCTCTCTCAAAATGTTTATTGTGTTATTTTTTATTTAGGTAGATTTCTAGCTATTCATTATAAATATCCTCTTAAGTAACAACATTTTTTCTTTTTTTCCTACTCTTCTTGATGATCTAAAATGTTAAAAATCGTATTTGTATAAAAAATTTGGAAACATAGTGTGTAGTGAGAATACCAGAATCAATATTTTTCGTCGGTGAAAAGGTAAAATTGTATTAGAAAAAATTGGTATCCAAATAGATTTCACTATAGAAACAGGACTATTAAAAGTTATTAAAAATCCTGCCTAGGCACTATGTTGGTTCGGGTTGTTCAAAAATGGGTAAATAATATACATTATAGGCAGGCGCTTAGGAATACAGAGTAAAACTTAAAGGTGTGCCTGCAATGCTGAGCTTAACTGAAACTCAGTTTAGCTATGAACTGAAACTAAGTTTCACTTAAGCTCTGAAGAAGAAAACATGATTGTTGGCGAAATTTCAGCAAGTTCGATTCACCATCAACCGACGCAAAAGGAATCCAGAAGATTTGTCAGTGTCAACATTTAGATAAAGTTAAAACCTTTGCAAAGCAACGTTCATGTCCAAACGATACATATACCGCATTAAATGAAAAATTTTGAGTACCCACTTGATCCATGTCCTCGAAAATTAAAAGTATATTACTGTGTGATTTCAGCCGTAATCTATGTAATTATCGCATGAATGCAAAAGTAATTTCTATTAACCTCCCCTTGCCAATGGATCTGAATTCAAAGTGTAGTAATAATTATTATTGATAAACAAATATTAAAGAGGAAAATGTTCTAACATTTTGTAAATTATCCGAGAGAACAATGTGCGAAGGGACGCTTTTGCGCGTTGATCCCATATTGATCTTCCGCTGAAAGAGATGTTCTGAACCGCGGTCTAAAATGTAGGCGTAACCAATTGCTGCAAATATCACAAAAGAAAATGCATTACTCAGCACCAAATCACTTATGGATTTACTTGGTGGCTATATTTGGTTTCACCTATTATCATGAAGGTAAGTTTTAATTTTCCTTCGTATCAAAAATAACCATAAAATATAGGAACATTTAAATTTATATTTTGATTTATGCAAATTGTAGTTATCTACACAGGTGTTTGATAACTAACTAAAAAAAAAGAAATATATAAATATTTGGCACAATTTAAAACAAATTAGTAGTGTCCGATAACTTATTCTGAGAACAGCACTGAAATTCCATGCAATAAGTATTACAGAATCACCATAATGTTCGCTACGGGCATTTTTTTTTATTTGTAAGAGGTGGGCAATTATCGAAACATTCGACCTGAAAACGCGAAAACGTGAAAAAAGTCTTTGGATACTTTTTATTGCCGTAGTTTTTTTTATAAAGAAATTTTTATTATTTGTTTAGTGTTTAATATAAATACTTCCATATAGTTTTTCTTTTTATAAAAAAATTCGAGATACTAAAGATTTTTGCAGGAAAAATCTAAGTGAAAAACATGTTCACATAAAACAACTGTAGAACCTTTCACCATAAGGAAATCAATTCCAATACGGTTTGTCGCCTTATAAATCAACAAGCTCTTTTAATAATAGAATTTTTAATAATAGAATGCGCGATTAAATTATTGCAAATGAAAGTGTTCGATAGGTACGTCTCATTATGTGAAAGATGTTTGTGCTCCGTACAATTTAATTGTATTTATCGAATAAACATAAGCTTCAAAACCTAATTATGTATTGGGAAGGTATGTGCAAACAATATATGTTATAGTGGCAGCCGACATTAAACACATTGAAGCCAATCCAGATGCGAAAAGATTATACGATGATCTCCTCAGCAACTATAACAGATTGATTCGACCAGTGATCAACCACACAGAAACTCTCACCGTATGGCTAAGTCTAAAACTTTCTCAACTTATCGAAATGAACCTGAAGAACCAAGTTATGACAACCAACCTCTGGGTAGTACAGGTAATTTAAATAATACGGCACATGTCGCCGGCTGTAACAATAACAATTTTGTAGAAATGGTACGATTATAAACTCCGATGGGACCCGGAGGAATACGGAGGGGTTGAAATGTTATACGTACCCTCTGAACACATTTGGCTTCCGGACATCGTTCTGTTTAATAAGTAAGCACAGTACGCGGTGTTTCTCAAAATATTCCTGTTTAATAAAATGCATATTTCGATAGTGCTGATGGAAATTACGAAGTTACCCTTATGACAAAAGCCACATTAAAATATACGGGAGAGGTAGTTTGGAAACCTCCTTCGATATACAAGTCATCCTGTGAAATAAATGTGCAATATTTCCCTTTCGATGAACAAAGTTGTTTAATGAAGTTCGCCTCGTGGACTTATAATGGCCTCCAGGTAGCATTTGGTGTAATCTTGCTTAACTGCACCTGATTGTAAGTATTTTAGATTGACTTGAGACACATGGAGCAACAAGCCGGGAGTAATATAATAAAAGTCGGTATAGATCTTTCTGAATTTTATTTATCCGTGGAATGGGATATTCTAGCAGTACCCGCCACAAGGAATGAGGAGTACTATCCATGCTGTCCTGATGAACCCTATTCTGGTAGGATATATCTTTTTCGTATACCATTTTCTTTGCATGGCATTGAACCGTTGGTCACATAAGACTCCTTCAAAGAAACGCAAAATAAAAAATATAATAATATTCCTTTCTAGAGCACCAGCAAGGCAGGCACTTACATATTGTTGAAGATTGCTTTCAAATCTTATTCTCGTTTTTATTCCAATCGAACTAATAGCCGTAAATATTCTACCTAAATATCTAAATAACTCACTGTGTAGATATAAATAATCTTACGTTGATTTTGACACCCACTGATTGCGGTTTGAACATGTTGTGATTAATAATCAAAACTACTTTTGCAGATATAACGTTCAAAATTACCATGCGAAGGAAAACCTTATTCTACACAGTTAATTTAATCATTCCGTGTGTGGGAATAACATTTCTTACAGTGTTAGTGTTTTATTTGCCTTCAGACTCAGGCGAAAAGGCAAGTATGATCTATATTATATCAATATGAGTATATATGTACAATCACAATATTTTAGGTCACCTTATGCGTCTCAATATTACTATCTCTCACAGTTTTCTTCCTGTTGCTGGCTGAAATCATTCCACCTACCTCGCTGGCTGTGCCATTATTAGGGAAGTATCTACTATTTACTATGATACTTGTTACTTCATCCATTTGGGTTACTGTATGTGTGTTAAATGTTCACTTCAGGTAAGACTTCAAAACGTAATGTATGAAATTGTACTTGGTATTCTATTAAGTTGCTTGAAAATTCTATAAAATTTCTAGTCTTTAAATTCACTTCAATATATATATATATATATATATATATATATATATATATATATATATATATATATATATATATATATATATATATATATATATATATATATATATATATATATATATATATATATATATATATACAGTGTGTCCAAGATAAGGATGCACAGCATGGGGATCTCGGAAACTATAAGAGATACAGTGTCGGTTAAATTAGACAAAAGTTGCGCATTTTGATACCGAACAAGATCCCGTTTTACAAATTTGAAAATTCCAAGCCGTTCCGGAAATATCCGAGAAAAACCGAAATATTGCGATTTCGTTTTTATTATTTTTTAAAGCTATTTGAAAAGATATGAAAAAACGGAAAACACTTTTCCATTGGCACTTTTTAATCTCTCCAAATTGACGTTAACAAATTTTCATTACAGCGTTTCGATTCCATGGAACCACCATCAACTTTGATTTTTCTTATGGGACGGAAAAAAAGTACACACAGTATTAGGTTGTGCTTTTCATTGCGAATTCAACGATGTACGATACAATACGGTTACTTATGTTTTTATCCAGAAAAATGGCTTTTTAATACATTTCAGCATTTAAATGGAGTAGGCCATGACAAAATGACATCCAGTCAATTTCAATGACACATTAATGTTATTTGTCTTTGTTATCAGTCGATCATAAGTTTATTCCTTTAGTTATTGTTTTTGTATTTTTATTGTTGTTGTCTTTTTCTAATTTATTTTGTTCTACAATGGAGGGAGGTAATTTTACAAACGAAGAAAAATGTGATATGCTGTCTTGCTACATCTGATGCCAAAGAAATTGTGTGGAAGCCGAGCGTATGTATTCTAACAAATACCCAGAGCGGAGACAACCTGACAAGATATTTTTCGGCGTTTGTTATTTAATCTGAAAGAATATGGATCATTTAAGAAGCCTGCATTATCCCGACAAAAACCTTCCAATGAAGAAAACCAATACATTGTTCTACAATCTGTTATCGAAAATCCACAAACTTCTACCAGAGAAATTGAAGACCAGAATGGGGTAGCTAAATCTACAGCTCAGTTTATTTTAAGGAAAAATGAATTTAAGCCTTACAAATTCAGAATATGTCAAGGATTAAGACCGGGTGACGACGAACGACGTAGACATTTTTGTGAGTGGTATACCAGGATGTGTGATGTGAGTTTTAATTTTCCATATAAAGTGATTTGGTCTGATGAAAGTATGGTGACCAATAACGGTATTTATAACAGGCGCAATACACACTATTGGTCGCAACAAAATCCACGTGTTAATAGGCTATCCAGACATCAAGTTCGCTTTGGGTTTTATATTTGGTGTGGGATTTTTGGTAGCAAGATTATAGGCCCTATTTTCTATAATAATTCCTTAACTTCCGAGCGGTACCTTGACATCTTGAGGCACGATTTAGAAGATGCCTTAGATGATTTACCGCTAGGCGCTGTGCAAGGCTGCTGGTTCCAACAAGATGGTGCCCCAGCCCATAACTCCAGAGAAGTTCGCCAATATTTAACTGAACGGTTTGATGGAAAATACATTGGGACTTACAGTGAAACACCTTGGCCTCCAAGGTCGCCGGACTTAACTCCCTTGGACTTTTTCTTATGGGGGGGGCTACATAAAAAATGAAGTATTCAAAGAATGTTTTGACAACGAGGAACAATTACGTCAATCAGTACGAGCAGCGTTTAATAAAATTACTCCTGAAATGTTAAGTCGTGTTTTGGAGTCTACCGTGAGACGGGCGTACTTATGCCTAGAAAATGGAGGTCATTTATTCGAACATTTGTTATAGAATTTGTTTTTCATTAACTTGTTGGATTTAGTTGTTATGTTAAATGAACAGTTAGAGTTAGTAAATAAATAAACACATTAACTCGAACTTGTCAACCATTTTCTTTTGCCTTTCATCGTTCGGATCTCATGGCCTACTACAATAAAATACTAGAAATGTATTAAAAAGCCATTTTTCTGGATAAAAACATAAGTAACCGTATTGTATCGTACATCGTTGAATTCGCAATGAAAAGCACAACCTAATACTGTGTGTACTTTTTTTCCGTCCCATAAGAAAAATCAAAGTTGATGGTGGTTCCATGGAATCGAAACGCTGTAATGAAAATTTGTTAACGTCAATTTGGAGAGATTAAAAAGTGCCAATGGAAAAGTGTTTTCCGTTTTTTCATATCTTTTCAAATAGCTTTGAAAAATAATAAAAACGAAATCGCAATATTTCGGTTTTTCTCGGATATTTCCGGAACGGCTTGGAATTTTCAAATTTGTAAAACGGGATCTTGTTCGGTATCAAAATGCGCAACTTTTGTCTAATTTAACCGACACTGTATCTCTTATAGTTTCCGAGATCCCCATGCTGTGCATCCTTATCTTGGACACACTGTATATATATATATATATATATATATATATATATATATATATATATATATATATATATATATATATATATATATATATATATATATATATATATATATATATATATATATATATATATATATATATATATATATATATATATATATATATATATATATATATATATATATATATATATACATATTTATATATATATATATATATATATATATATATATATATATATATATATATATATATATATATATATATATATATATATATATATATACATATATATATATATATATATATATTTTTGAAACCATAGTTTTTGGAAAACGGAAGTGCAGAAACTTTGGTCACATTGGTTTTTAACTTTCTCTATGGAAAAAGTTAAGGCGTCCACACGCTCCATAGATAAAAAGTTTCTTCAAAACTTCATTTCAATAATATTTATATCCATTTCAAATCTTTTTTCTTCGCGTCTTAAATCTTATCAATAAAACATTTGTGTGTCAATCCAATGATTAGTGTGAATTTTTGATAGATATCTAAATTAAACTTACAACATTTTGTTAGTTGTTAGCATTTAGGTAAATCAACATAACATGTGTATTAAAAACGCTTTTGATGTTCTATGAGAATATTTGATAACAACCAGGGCGTTTCATTTGAGAAAAATTACTTTTTTCCTAGCTTTTTTCCAATTTTGCATGAGACGAAAATTAATTAATATTTTGGATAATTAGAATACTAGAAATATTCAACTACTCTAGCACTAAAAATTTAAATTATACTCTATTCTAGCCTAAAAATATGGAGAATATTTCAAAAAAAAAAAATCAGCGGAGAGAAAAATTGCACTATGTACAGTATAAAATATTTCATAACAACATATCAATAATAATAATAATAACTATTAAGAGGTCCATAAATTTTTAATTTTTCAGATCACCGTCGACACATAAAATGTCTCCCACGTTCCGAAAAATATTTCTTCAGCTGATGCCGAAATTATTAATTATGAGACGCACCACATACACACTGCCGGAATACGACGACTCCCTACCGCCCCGTGGCTACTCCAATGAAATCGACATCCAGTGAGTGCGACCTGTTATAAAGTTTATTAATTGAAATTTATAAAAATAATATTTAGGTTAAACATGAACGAACCGTTCACTACGGATTTCAAAATCGCCACGAGAGAACCAAGCTTTGCTTTGCAAAACTCTGACCAAGAAGAGCTCAAAATGAAGCCTCACTCTTCCAGTAAGTTTCAATATGGCGACATTAATTGCATACTAATTGTAATGTTTAGTGGGTGGATCGTCAGCTAATTTTGCACCCAAAAATCTATCCGCCAACGTGTTAACAGCTTTGGAAGGAGTTCGTTTTATTGCCCAACACATCCGAGATGCGGACAAGGATAATGAGGTGCGCTTGTTCGGTTCATTTATCGGATAAACCTAAGTTTGCTCTTTTTCAGATTATCGAAGATTGGAAATTCGTTTCTATGGTACTGGACCGATTCTTCCTTTGGGTTTTCACATTGGCTTGCATCGGAGGAACATGCGGCATCATTTTCCAAGCTCCTTCACTTTACGACACTAGAATTCCGGTGGATCAGAAACTGAGCGAAATTCCTTTGAGCAAAATATTTCAAAATCAGTTACCACTACCTCCTGGTCTTCCTCCCTCTTAAAAAAAATATTATTGGACTAACGGTCTAACGAACATTTATCGATCATTGTTATCGTTCGCATAGGATCAAATCTAATCGGTAAAAAGCACTGGTAACTAAATTGATCAAGCCAAGCTCTGGAATGTGCTTTGATTAAGAAAGTGTTGGTAATTGTAATTTCGAAGTAGAATATGTATTTTATTGTACAATATCGACAATATGTTTCATTTTCAACGATAAGGGAGGGTGCGAATAAATAGACGGAGCGAGACAGAAATACAATTATAGCAAACTGAATTTGCCTTTCATTTAATTGAAAAAGAGGTTCAAAATATCCAGTATGGTGAATACTATAACGACTTTCGCATTATTAAAACTCATTGGAAGAAAAGGTGTTTAGTTGGAGTAACTCTGCAACTTTATTCAATAACCGTATATTTCTTTTTCAATGCTCGGATCATTCTTACACATCCTGAGCATATTCTCAGAGCATCCTCGTGGTGTTATCAATATTTTTCGAATTTTCGTTATACAACACCGAATAGTTTCGAATTTCATTTGTTTTTTTGTAGAGAAAAATCGTCTTTAACATATTAATATAAATCGTTTTGATAATCGTTAAGATCAGAAAAATCAAAATAAAAAATAAAAATGGATAATCATTATTTTTATCTTTAACATTAATGAGATGCCAGTTTTCAAAAGTTTTTCTAATTTACTTAGTTTAAGTAATCTTCAATAGAGCACGTGTTATGTTTAGTAAGGCATGGATCGCCATTTTTCATTATTTGTTTTGACGTCTTTGTTAAGTCATTTTATATATTATTAATATGATTGTAAAATATACTTAGGCGTGATTAACTACATTATTTATTTATAGTATTCGGCCAAATGTTGAATGTGTTCTAATTCCCTCTTTTATTATATAAATGTTTCCTTACGTTATAAAATAAATTTTATTTTTTAAATAACCCCATGAAAACGTCTAAAACCGTTCTTCCGTGTCTTCCAATCCATTCTCTACATTTATCGTTGAGATAGTCCGTTACTCGAGCAACATTGTGGAGGTGCTCAATTTTGTTGAAAAATAATTTCAGCAGCTTCATTCAACATTATCCACAAACTCCCTTCAGTATAATTAATTCCACACCAAGCATTGACACCCAGAACGTTTCTTCAAAATATTTTTCTGAAATTTCTGTAGACTAATAATGTACGTTTTTCTTTTGGGCACCATTACCGTTATTTATGGTCTCTCTAACATAACCGTAGTCTTAGTGCCTCCGTAAGATGATGCAGTGTCATGATTTTTAAAGGATGTCACTTGTTTTTCTTTAAAATTGTCCAGATTTTCCCAAAACGTTTATTCAAATCGTGAACTCCATCACATACAGAATTTAGAGGGGCCTCTGAAAAATGTAGCCTAATTATTACTAGAAAAAATCCCCCAATGGCGGTGGTTCTCAATAAACTTTTTTGGAGACGCCCTGATTCGTTACCAGTATCAGAAAACAACAAAAATCATTGGTCGTCTCAACGAACAGCGATTTTTGAAATACGGAAGTATTTGTAACGTTATAAATATAAGACTATTCGGTAGTTTAATAATGGCCGTATTATGACCTACGGACAAAGTGTTCGAAGTGTTTTCGGAGCGCGAGCATTGAAGATGCCAAGTGAGATTTTGGCGAAACGTCTGCAGGATTCCAGTCGGATGCAAGATTTGCAGGATTCCAGTCGGATGCAGGATTCCAGTCGGAGTTCAACGAGCGAACGGATGATATCCCGGAATATAGTGTCATCATATTTTTCCATCCGTGAATCAATACGTGAGAATATATATATATATATATATATATATATATATATATATATATATATATATATATATATATATATATATATATATAGATACATTAACAATTGCAATAATAAATACGATAATACCGATATCCGTTGTCGTCTAAAATTTATGTAAAAGCCCATTATCCCATCGATCTCATTTTACCCCGCCCCCTCCTTGGTTAATGGATTGTCTTATCTCTTCATGGATCTAAACGCACTAATATTTTCCACATATAATGCCACTAATATATTATTTGTTAGCCATCAAACGTAAGCTCTATCTGAGCAGCAATGGTTTATCGTATTCGGGCTAACCCCAACCTGCTTGGAATAAAATTATTGGGAAATCCTCGTTTACATAAAATAGAAAGGTAAGTTTAGATGGTCATTAAACCAACACCAGGCGTAATACGGACTACTTCATATTTATAGGGTGTGTTGGATACTAATAATTTTGGCAGCCGCCGGATATGCAATTTTCCTTATTAGGACAAATTGGACCCATTTTTCCGATCATCCTACGGTTGTTTCGATTAAAAAAGACTTTCGAAATTGGGAAAATGCCTTCCCCGCAGCCACTGCTTGTTTCCTAAACAGGGTGGATGATGACAAAGCCTCTCAACTCATTCGAAGGTAAAAAAAATGATAAGAATAAGTAGGAGTTTTTATTAAATTTTATAATCCTATCTTTTTTTTAATGAAGCTTATTCATTTATTTGCACAACAATTGATTTACTATTCCAAAACTAACCAATCCAGATCCAAAAGTACCGTTTAGAAGAAAACTAACGAAGGCTATCCTATTAGGAAGGCAGTTCTTTCGGAGATTAGTGATATTTTTATTGAAAACACTTATAACACCGAGTATTTTTATAAAAACAAAATATTTTCTTGTTCTATAGTTTTGGTTTTGGTTTATCACTTGAATGGCTTCTGAAATAATCAAACCAATTTTAGAATTGTAGAAATATAAAATGAATTTCAGTTCACAGGAGAAAAATAGAATAAAGAAACTATTAATGTAATATATAGGGTCTTTATCGAGAGATGATAAACTGATGCTTAAGTCATGTTATCCAAAGGCAAATATTTTCATATCCATGTTTCTTTTAAGAGAAGCTAATACGGGTTTTAAAAAAACCTTAATTATTTTAATTATTATTAATTATTAGAGAATAATTTTATACCTAATTACAATTTCTTAAACGACGCGAAAAAGTCAAGTTTATGCCGGAAACTGTGAAAGAAATATTGCACCCTTAACCATTCAAAACAGAAAACAAGGCGTACTTATGTTTAGGTTGTGGAATGTCTCTAGCACGCACCCCAAGTATCTCTATTACCTGGACTTTATTCAAATCCTGGCGAATATTAGCTTCGAAAATATGTTTGCTTTAAAGAAGTTTGGAAATGACCCTTCTTTGAATCGTGTCGACATGACGGAAATAGTTACACAGGTGATCATCTGTTTTTCATCAGGGATGTTACTGTGTTATTTAAACGATCTCGTCGCCAGGTACATCCCGACATTCGTGGGACATTGGTAACTTTTCAGACTGAAAGTAGAACGGAGTGGCAATTGGTTTTAACCGAAATAGGATTGTGTTTTACGGTTAATTCTAAATTCGCATGGTTGTTGTCCCCAAAGTAGGTATCAATGTATGCAGGGTGTCCAGCTTCCCACACTTTTACACGGATTATCTCGGTTATTTAAGTTATTAAAAAATATCGATGTTCGCAATCCCGTCCTACTTTTCCATTCAGCAAATGGTTCCATGAAATTTTCAAACTCCATGTAAATTTTGATTATCAACGTTTTGCATACTATAACAGACTACACTCTTTCGACGACCGTTAATTTTTGGGTACATTCTTGCAACACTCATGGAATGACTTATGATGTGGCCATCAAAACTGACATGTATCAAAATACCATAAGTATCTAAATCTAAAGAAAATATCCAAAGTGCATAATTGAATATTTCGGCATACAGAGTAGAAAAAGTAGTATCCTGATATCACTTTATTTGTTACGATGTACCTTTTCTAATGTTATTTTTAAGCAAAGATTTTTAGTTTTTGCATGGTTATTTTTATTGACATTTCTTTATTTTTATAAATCATTTGTGTTCATCGCAATGCAAAATATAGCTAGTGTTATCTTATTAGAGATATTATTCTGCAAGATATTTTTATTAACGAACTGTCCAATGGACTTATAATAGAGAAACCTCCTTTGGATTTGGAAATAATGGACCCATTAGTCGCATTTAGTAAGGTTAATCTGCCAGTCTTGGCCAGTTTGAAGTTGGCATTTGACAATAATAATTTATAATTTATTTACGGTAAAATGAAATAAAAGTTAATATATTATTTTGAACTTATAGCCCAAAAAATTTCTTGTCTCGGACACTTAATTTATTATTGCTGACATCAGCGTCGGCTAATGGCAATCTTGTTCCCCCACTATGTAAATAACGTTATGCCTTGCCAACTAGCAGGGAAAAATGTGATTTCTCATGAAGTGCGCAAGGTTCAAATAAGATATAAACTTCAAAGTTATCAAAATAAGGAGTGCAGAGAATCCCAAAATCACCTCTACGATGACTCGCGAACAGACTGTTCGATTGAAAAGGAAAATTAGTTTTGTTTGGAATATATATTTGGGCACGCTAGTTGACATTGTGACGGTACTACTTTGGATACTACGTATGATTCGCCATCGGGTAAAAATTTGTAGCAATAATTTAAATAAAGTACGTAGTTGCCTTGTTTTGGTTTGGTTAACTTAAATTTCACGACAAACTATGCACAAAGTAATGACACAGACTCTTTTGCTTTTTGAAAATATACAGGGTTACATTTCTTTTCAGTGAATCGGAGACGCGATATTCAGTTGTTTAGTGATCTAGGCATAATTTTGCGTTAAGGAAACTGATTATGACATTAAATAAGGCCATTTTGTGATTTTGCTGTATTGATGGCGCTAAATCTAATTGCTTTATGAAAGCTCCGAAATAATCCGGAAAAGTGTCGAAAATTGTATACCCCTCTACAACGTAAAACAAAAATAGTAGTTATTACTTTGGTTTTAGTGACACATTACATTCGCACAAATATGCAAATATTTTACATTGCCCATATTTAAATGGTTTATGTTATGCCAGATACGATTCCGATCCAACTTTGCCTCTGAATGTATGTTTTGTATTAGAAGTTAACTATTTTCGAACATTTTTCAATAGTTGTTTTTCAGTATTACATTCACTCCAATCTTGACATAATCCACGCCACGACAGAATCTCCCCTAACCGTATTTGAAAGTGAGGAATTGGAAGTCAATTATGAATTAATGGAAACAACGTCATCTCCGAATATTAGATACCTGACACCGTTTCAAAGGAAATGCAGATTCGATGACGAACCTATTACCAAAAACGTACCTGTTTACAGTAGTACTGTTTGCTATACTATATGCCGGTATCAGTTAGCGATGAATCGTTGTGGATGTAAACCTTTTTTCTATATATTTTTAGGTGAGATTTTAAAACTAATCTACTTCATTCCCCTAGCATTTGACTTTAGACGGTATGGTAGATATATAAAGTACTGGTAAAGTAAGAAATTAAAAATTATTTTCACGCCGTTTCCTATTCCTAACAAAATATTCTATCAATTTAAATATGCCGACGAAAATTTTGTTTTTCTGCCCCTTTCTGTAAAATAATTAATTCTACTGTCATTTTACCACGTCAGTTTCGTTTTCTATGGATCCGAGCAACTTCGGATATTTCCGGGATATTACCACACTGTACTAATTCCCGATATAGAAACAGAAAAGTTAAAATATACTGGTATAGTAAAAATGGGTATTTTTACTATATCAGACCTATTTCCCGTACAAGTAAGCGATGTCTTATTGTCGCGAATCCTGTAATCCATACAAGTTTTCTGCGACGATATAGTTCAAGAACTGAACGAACAGGACAGCCTCGTGCATTACACGTGCCACTTTAACACGGCAGCTTCGTCAGCGATATTCATAACTTTATTCGTGTTGTTTTGCAAAAATGCCGCGAAAACTAACTCGCCGTAGAAAAAAAAAACTTCTTCAGTTACTTGTTTATTAAACACTCTCTAAGCCGTGTGCCAAATCAAATTTGTGACTAAAGTGCATAATATACTATTACGTTCTATACCTATCGATTATTAGGATCCTATTAAACAGTAACCCCATAGTACAGGGGATATGCAACTAATAATACAGTGTCACATTTTTCCTCACCTCACCAGCAAAAACTACTTTGCTGACTGTTTTGAGTTGGATTTTAATCAATTTTGCTGAGGTTTGTGGAGAATTAATGTGAAAACCAAAGTTTCTTGAGTAATTTTGTTTTGTATTGGGTGTCCGAATATATATACTTTGCTAAATAATTTCAGAAATGCTTTGTTGCGAAATACAGACCTTTAAATTACTAATAAAAAATTTAAATTTTTATCATATATCTCTTCCATCCTCCTAAACCCTTTTCATTTTCCCATATTAGGAATTTTGTAACACGCACCAGAGCTTGTACCGTGCGTTCAATTCATCTTGATAACATTTTAATTAGCTGTAAGAAAATAAAATGTAGGGTTAGTAGCCAGGTTTTTTTTTTCGAGTGACGTATAAAACAAAACAATCAATTTTCTGACAAATAAGCCTACATCATATTTTTTTAAATGGAACACCCTGTATATTATAGAATATCTTATTCCGATTATAATGTGACACACTTTATATTTTAGTCCACTGGTTTTTGACATATCGGAAAAAATATTTTTTTTCATATAATTTCAAAACGCGTCTTGACTGACAAATAATATGTTTATGTTTGACAAATGATTGAATTATTGTCCAATTGTTGTTAAAATGTTTTTTGGCGAATTTAGCATCTGTAAAAATAATAAAAGTGCAACCGCAACTCGTCGTCAGTATATTAAACTTTAAATTTTGTAAAACTCAAAAATCAAGTACAGAACAATGTCAAAGGTGGATGCAGTTTTGTTTATATTTTTTAAATAGGCATAATGAGAATAATAATTTTATGTACTGATGAAAGTTCGTTCATTACAAAAAATGGTTGTAATAGACAAAATGCGCGATATTGGTCTTTAAATAATCCTAGACAAATACACGAAATAAAAACCCAGGGGTACCAACTAATTAATGTATGGTGTAGTGTCATAGATAGGCATATTTTTGGTCCGATATTTAAAGTTAACCAGAGATCATTATTTGCAACTCTTAGACCACAAATAGAACAATATATAGAAGATTTACCCCTTAACATATCAGCGCCGAGTATATGGCAGCAAGACGGCGGCCCTCTTCACAATGTTGTGCAAGTTAAAAATTTTCTTAACATGGAATATCCCAGTCGTTCAACAGAGAACGGCGGAACTATGGAGTAGCCAGTTAACAGCCCCGACCTAACTTTAATGGATTTTTTCTTTTGGGCACACATAAAAATTCACATGCACAGAACTACTTGTAATAATAATAATCGGTTAAGACACAGACCGAAAACGTTACTAAATGCAAGACATCATATAATTAAAGAATTTTTTACTTTAGTGTGTCTTGTAGTTTTTAATGTTTTTGTTCTATTTTAATTTGTAAATAATTATTGTTGATGCGGTCAGTCAAAGCACTCTTTGAAATTATATAAAAATTTCCTATTTTTGCCTATTTATCACATCGGAATCGATCGTATTCGGAATAAGGTATTCTATTAAACAAATTTATAATATACGGATTGCCCCATTTAAAAAAATATGATGTAGGCTTATATGTCAGAACATTGATAGTGTTTTGTTTTTGTAGGTCACTTGGAAAAAACTTACCTACTAACAGTACGTTTTGTTTATCTTGATATCTCTGAAAACAAAAAAGTTACAGCCAATTAAAATGTTATCAAGCTAAATTGAGCGCACGGTACCTGGTCCGAATAATTATAACGCGATAGGACCTAATGATAATTAGTCGCTTAATACTTTTTATAGAGGGCAAAATTTGTGACATAGATGGGCTCATTTGTTTAGCTCGTTACTCGAACCTGTTTAAGGCAGCCATAACCAAAAATGAGTGCCAGTGCCCTCAACCATGTCATCACATCTTGTACTTGAAAGAATCATCAAAGCTCACCAGATGGTACATCATTCACAGTAGTTTCCAAATTGCTTATTAAGGTAATTTAAGGTAACTTCCAGGCAAACGTCGTATTTCGAACAAAGAATAACATTTAGATGGGGATTACTTCCACCAAATACAAAATACCACAGAGATATATTATTTGGTTTTCAAGGTCTGATAGGTGGGTATTTAAAAGTCTGATACAACACAATACTATTTTTTGTTGTTACAGTGTCATTCGGGGGGATTCTATCCTTATTCTTAGGAATGAGTTTTATTACCCTCATCGAAACAACAGTTTCAATTGCTGAATGGTTATATGGGGGAACAATTTATATCATAAATCATTTTATGTAATAATAAACATGTTCCCATCTATTGGATTTTTATTTCCTTATAAATATGTATATGAATACAAAAGAACATGTACATTATTTATATATTTAAGTGGGGTACAATGTGGCAAATGTTAAATATCCTGTATGACCAGGCATTTGAGAAGGCGCTATACAAGTTAGCATGCTTTTATTTTCCCTCTCCCTCTTTTCATCAGGGTTGTCATTGTTTCTTTTAGTTTTCAAAAAATCAAGATTCATAACAGGCAAATTCTTTGTTTGAACACTGTATTGTGTTTGAAGAACTTCCATGGTCTCAATTTCTTGAAAGCCCCATTCTGAGAGTTCGGTACAAGTTTTCTGAACTTGTTCAATGCATGGTGAAAATGAACAAATCCTACCTCCTGGTTTTTTTAATACTTTCACAGAATGTGATATTGCCTTCCAAGGCAGAGGCAAGTCCAAAAATATGGCGTCTGCTTTTCCATTTAACTCTTCGCCAAAACCAACCATACACACATCTTGTTTGATGACAGAAACATAATCACTCAGTCCATGATCTTTAAATTCCTGCAAAACAGTTTGAGTTCTCACTTCATGAAAATCAAAAGTGTATAAGTGTCCTGTGGGTTTAATTGCTCTAATTAGAGCATGTGAAAGAGATCCGCTACCAGTTCCACTTTCAATTACAACACTGCCTGGAAAAATTTCAAGTTGTAAAATTATCATGCTAATGTCTGGTGTATAAATGATTTGAGTACGATGTGGAAGAGTAAGGGTCCACAACTCGGGAGTGGGCTGCAGTACATAACCCCAGCCCTTACTAAGTGAAATTTTAGAACCATAACACTTTCCAATTAGATCTATACATTTGATTGCTCCATAGGGAGTTTGAAAAACGTTATCCACTTCAACGCCTTTTTTATTAAGAGTTTTGGCTACAGCCTGGATACTATACACATTGGAAATCGTTAGATACAATATTACTCGATCACCTTCTTCTATTTTATCTTTATAGCCATTAAAACTCATAATAATACTAATAATAATAAAAAAGGGCCAAATATTATCACTTCGCGAAAAAATCTCTGCACAATTAGGTTACTCGCAAAGCTGTTAAATTGGTCAAATATCGTTTTTTACAATCTTGGGTAAAGTGGTTCATTTTGGTTAGAAAGAATTCCACCTCCTAATCTCCATATTCACACACTGAACTCTTTTTTGCCTGAAGCTTTAATCGGATCTGGATTTACATATTTTTTGAGAAAATACTGACGTACTGACTGGTGTTTACTGCCGCAAGGTCATTAGTTAAAAACGACGTTTTAAATCCTTCTGTAAAGCGATAGTTTAATTCTCAGGCATGCGCATGTCGATGGGACCTTCCCAAAATTTTTTTCATAGTTGCTTCAAATGTTCCTGTATTATCAGTATACGCAGAGGCTCTTTATCTCTAGTAGCTATATCGTTGCTTCATAAGTTTCTGTCATATCAACATGGGCAGGGCTTCTATTTATCTATTAACTACATGTTTGGATGGTATTTTCTCTAAGCTGTCAAAATGTTGTGTCATTTAAATAGTGTCTAGACAGCATCTTTTGAGTGTATGTGTCCTGCGGTTTCATCGTCTCTGCATGCACGCCGGTAACCAGGTCGTATGGACTCGGAGCTTGGTGGTGAAAGCTAATGGAGCCGTGTTTCTTTTCGTATCAATTCAAGAAAAAAGTCATAGTGACCGAAACTTAAAAAAATCTTCGATGGAAGTGGGCAAATGATCCTAGCAGACTTGCCCAATATGAATCGTGAAACCAATAATTGAATTCAATTGAATTTATTTTCCTTAGCATTTGAAATTACGAATTAAATTATAATCAATGTCAGGCGGTTAAAAATAACACAGCACATCTCAAAACACCATTAAAAATCTGACTCGTTATATGGAACAACAGTGACATTTGTGTTCTTACACTTAAATCGTTTTCAGTAAAACAAAACATACAGGAAAAAAAAATTAAAAAAAAGGTTTTCTCGACATCTCGATTTATGTATAAATTGACTTAAGATCAAATAAACTAATTCTATGGTTAATGGTTAAAATACCAAAATACCTCGATCTTGATCTTTAATGAATGAAACAATGGAGAAACTAATTAGTTTTCTTTATACAAGAAAGTCACGAACTCTTAGCCGGATGACAATAAAAAGATATCACTCTTTAAAACACAGTAATTATTTGTTTACGTATGTATATACATACATTTTGTTTGATTTGTTATGTCGTATATTTAGGGATATTGTCGGTTTTAAACGACTAATTGCTCCCACAAATTTTCCTACATTTATAATATTTTGCGTTCCTTTACCTAATGTTTCGAATTGTATATTATTATAAAATAAATTGTAATTGTTATTAAAAATGTGGGTCAGCAGTGGGACAATAAAACTGACTAACACTGGGAACAGAATAACTTACTGTTAAAAGAGCACATTACAGGAAACATTGACTACTTAAAGGCAAAAAAATCGGTTTTAGGAATTGCATTTATTTAAAAATAAAACATCATTACTGTTTTTTCTAAGCAATCTATTAAGCTTAGATATTTACCTAAAATTGTAAAATATACACATTTTTTTCTTTGTCGCTAAAAAATTCAGCTGTGTCTCTGTGTATTTGTGCATCTTGCATTTTTTATTGCTTGGAATAGCAATTCAACCATCTAATTGTGAACTTATAACCGTCACAATCAGGTTTTCAAAAATTCTCTTTCGTAGGGCCCAATTTGCTGTCTATTCTACAGGTTGTGGTAAACAAGGATTCCCAATAATTTGATCAGCAATTCTACTGGCCTCTCTTAAACCACTTAAAAAAGCTCCATGTACAGTTGCCGGATAATTTCGAATTGTATGTTCACCAGCAAAAAATACCCTAGCCAATCCAGATGTTGCAGACATTTCGTGTGAACTTGGAGGGATAACTGGAGATGCCAAAAGGTCATAATCACTTCCAGAACTCCCAACTGCCACAAAACTATAAGAACCTCGTGACCATGGATCAGCTCTCCAGCGTGTAACAACTGTTTCTTTTGGTTGAGGTACTCCAGAAGGTCCAAATATTCCACGCAAAACAGCTATACATCTGCCCACAATAACATCATCAGTAACATTTTCCATTATGGCTGCTGCTTCCCCTGCTACCAAGGCTAATAAAACAGGCGCTTTATAAATACTCCAAAATAAAAACAGCTCTCCTCTGCTTGCAGTTGTACTACCAACATGGCCAAAAAGATTTGCCTGTGGGTTCCAAAAGATGCGTTCAAAACATAAAACTACTTTGTTCAAATTTCCAAAGCCAAGTCTTTGTATAGCTGAAGTCTTCCAGTCAGGTAAAGGAGGAGAGAACTGAACTGTATTAAGCTGCCCACTGGATGGAGATGTACTTAATTTTAAAACTCCTAGTGGAAGAGTGCATAAAACAACATCTGCGTGGTAGGTGTTAACAGTTTGTGGGTTTCTAGGGTTATATACAGTGACTTCAACACCTTCATTATTATATTGAACATTCTTCACACCAGCATTGAGTTTAATATCTAACCCTTCTGCAAGTGCTACCGGCACACATGAATATCCATTACGGACCGTTAAATGATTTCCTGTAAATTCAAAATCATCATCTTGATCCCAATGCTTAAGAGATAAATTAGAGAGGGGAGTTGCATTTGCAAATTCTAAATTTGCAAAATGCCAATCTAATATTTGCCTGTCTTTGGATGATAAATATACATCACTTGGTCGTGAATTTTCTATTAATTTCAATTTATCCTCAATTTCCTTTGCTTGTTCTTGAAGTTGATCCCATTCCCTTGCAAGAGCTTTTAGGTCTCTGATACCACTTCTGTATACAAACTCTTGTTGAAGGTCTCTTTTCTCAAACAGGGCTACTTCCTTTACTTTTTTATTAATTTCTTGCATTTGTCCCTTTACTTGAATTAACTGTATTTGATTACTTTTAAGCTTTTCTTGCAATTCTATAATTGATTTCAAATGATGTATATGTTTTTCCTTTACATGCTTCTCTTGCAGCTTAATTACCCATTCAAGAGCTTGTCCCAAACTAACAGGTTTATTGCCTGCATAGTTAAAATCCAATTGATGTGATAAATATGAAGTAGCTTCTAGCAAACGGTTAAATTCTCTTTCAACCATTTCATCTTTATCCTTGTCAACTGTTAGTCCACAAGATTGATAAAGGGGGCATTTTTGACGAATTCTGTGTAATTCCATGTCTATTTGTTTACTGAGAGTAGTTACTGGATTACCACCCAGACCTGTTACCACCATAGCACCAAGATCTGCTATGTAATTTCCCTTTCTAAATGTTGCTATTCGTCCCCCTACCCTATCACGAGCCTCAAGGACAATAACTTCCAAACCAAACTGCTGCAATTGTCTTGCTGCAGCCAATCCGGCAATTCCAGCACCAATTACAATTACTTTGCCATACTTTTTTGAAGGTATGGGGCGAAGTCTTTTGAAAATGCCAAAATTTATAAAGCCATTTCTATCTAGAAATCCATATACACGTTTAAGCAAAGGAATATCGCTATTATAAGGAGGTTCCATTTTCTTTATTACATGATCCAATATAAGCTGTTGTTTGGGATTTTCCAACCACATTTGTAAAATTTTATTGCGTATATTCAAGTAAACTTTTACGGTTTGCAACGCAGCTGAAGCTATATCAGGAAAACAGGCTGCTTCTGTGGAAGTTAGTTTATCAAAAGGCATTCTACTTTGAAATGCGGCACCCTCCAATCCCGAAAACAGGTCCTTAATGACAGGATCATCCAAGTCTGACTCGATATCTGGATCTTTTTTCTTCTCATCTTCCTTCTTAATATCTTCCTTTTTGTCTTTTTTTATAGCTTTTGAATTTGAAGATGATACCTTTTTATCCATTTTATAAAAATTTTTAGTGTTTTAGATACCAAAATTCAAATTATTTTAATTAACTTAGTTTCGATTTGATATCTTCCTTTTTATCTTTTTTTATAGCTCTTGAATTTGAAGATGATACCTTTTTATCCATTTTATAAAAATTTTAAGAGTTGAGGATACCAAAATTCAATCGGTTTTAATTAACTTGGTTAGTTTTAATTAAATACACACATTGCTTTAAATAGCTTACTTCTTTATTTATTAAGCCACTATAGACAATTTAATAGCAATAAGATAAATTGTTTGTTTTCCTTTGATGTTCTTCTTCTTCACTCTTCAATTGAGCAAGTGTACCCAGGGCATTCGGCTATTGCCGACATCCGTCGAGGATTTCTGACTTGCTTACATCAAATATTTAGGAGCTGATAATAGAGAAAACAGCTCCCCATGCTTCGCACAAGGATCATTACGGTCCATTAGACCTCCAATCTGCGTGAACGATAAAAACAGCTAGGCCGCACGAATCTTTAAAATGTTTACAAAAATCACTTAATTAACACCGATATCTACTATCCCCGATTCCGTCAAAGACCAAAACCTAATCCACCATGGTCAATACTTCGCACTAATACACAATAACGTGTTTTACTACAAACCGAAACTCAATTTTACGTATTCGACGCGAGTTTCGCCAACCAATTTGGCATCTTCAGGAGAAGATTAAAACTAAGACTAAAACTCAGTTTTAATCTTCTCCTGAAGATGCCAACTTGGTTGGCGAAAGACGCGTCGAGTACGTAAAATTGAGTTTCGGTTTGTGGTAAAACGCGTTATTGTGTGTTAGTGCAGTGCCGAAGGTTCCAGTCAAGAGTTTGAATACTTCGCACAGTTAATTAATTATTATTATTAGGTACCCATAAGCATCGAAATATGGATATAACAGCAATAACATGTAAGAGAAAAGTTATTACTGTTACGAAACCTGTTCTGAAGCAATTATGGTTTGTGTCACCCTACCTCAAACTTCCTTATTTTATTTTTTATTTGGCAGCGAGTTAAACCATTCTGTTCTTCTTTTGTCTTACTTCTATTTTTACTTCAGTCACAGTTCTAGAACTGTTCGTCTCCCTCTTTTTCTATTGGACAGTTTATTAAAATCATAGAGAAAATAGAAGCAAAAAAGAAGAAGAAAATCATGAACAGTTTAATCACTAATATTAAGAATATATTTTAAACTAAAATTAATTAAATCAATCTGAAAAAATGAATAAACTGTAATGTTCAAATACTTTTTTGTTCACAATGTTACCTATAAAATTTTCAAATATTGGGATGAAAGTATTCGGAATTGCTTATGTACAATCTGCCATGTTTTTGTATCCTAATTAAATAATAATTAAATTTTCTCAAATATGCTATAAAAAGTAAGAGTAAGTAACTTGATGGTTTCTTTCCTATAATGCGTGTTTCTTACATTTATCTATGCTTGCCATTGGAAGAAATAGAATATATATATATATATATATATATATATATATATATATATATATATATATATATATATATGGATTTGTGATTTTCCAGTTTTAAGTAAATATAAGTACAACATTAGTGTCTTATTATGAGTAATAATCAAGAAGAGGGTAAAAAGTAAAATTTTTATTTTTATTGCATTTAATACTTTGTAAATTTTCAGACTCGGAAGCAATGGTTATTCAAAGAAGACTGTTATTTGACATGGAAGATACATATATAAACCTGTTACAAAAACTGATTGTCAGTTGGGTGTTAGATAATACAAAAAGTAAAGAGAGTTTAATAACAGAAAATAATATTCAGCAACTATTACATCATTTGTATATTCTAAGAAAAACATCAGAGCTTGCTAAACATAGGATTTTAAAGGACGCTGAACTTTATAAAAATATAAGACTTCAACTTGAGGAGCAGGTAACAGCTTTAAAATATAGCATACAAAGCAGCCAGGTATTGTTAAAAAATGCACAGAATCGATGCAAGAAAACTCAACAAATAAATAATCTTGTGTCTCAAGTTAGAAGTTACCCCTCCACAAAAGAGCTTCAATTCAGGCTGTGCACATTGAATGAAGAGTTTCAGAAGAAAAAAAAAGAATTTGAGGATATTAGCACATTGGAGAGTAATCTCAAAAGAGCGTTACAAGACTTTTCAAACCAAAGTTATTCCATGATCAATTTCTCAAATTGATCTTTTTGAATAAGTATAAAAATTTATTTTTGTGTAGAAATTGTACCTAGAACATATGTTCAAAAGAAATCTGTTTTTTTTTTAATTTTATTATTTTCATTCCAAGGTGGGTAGTTTTTATAAAAGTTAACTTTAAAGAAAATGAGCTTGAAGATTGTTTAATGATTTAATATCAAGTGTAGATTGTATATTTTTTTCAATAGAATTTAGGCGTTATGACTTGTGGTGAAAGTGATTTACTACACTGCTTCTCCCTAAACATTTATTTTAATTTTTATGGTTACTTGAAATGAAAATATATATATATTGTTACTTGGTTGGTTTTTTCGTGTTATCACATAATTATTTCACAGGCTCAATTTTGAATTGAAATACTTGTTAATACTGATTTATTTATTCCTATATATTACTGACTGGCCATATTGTACAGGTTAGTAAACAATAAAAGACATGTATGCTTTAGTTACTTTTTATAACATTTCTTATTCTTAAAATTAAGTATCTATAACAATTTTACTGGTAAATATTTACATTAAAAAAGAATTAAGAGAATAAATGAAAAATTTGGCCTAATAAGATTAACTTTTCCAAGAGTTTATATACAAAAGCTTACATACAATACACATCCAGTTTCTTCCATGTAATACGAAATTTTTGAGCACCAACAAAAAAATTTGTAAGTACTTTTCACTAAATAATAGAAATTTAAAGCACAGATTCAATTTGTTTAATTTCTTTGTCATTTGGACTTGATGCAGTCTCAACGATTTTTGGAAGATTTCTCCCTCCCTGGCTCATAGTTATTGGTTCATCCTCTTCATCATCCTCATCTGTGGACAAAAAGTTACTTTAACAAATTGATGATCCAGAATTCAGAATCACTTTTCAATGGTTCTACCATTTTACAAATGCATTTTACATATTAATAACCTTAACTAAACCAAACTAAACTAGGATATAATACCAAAAATAACCAATTTCACAAACTATGAACAGTAAAAACCTACATATCATTCAGATGGCAGTAGGTACTACAAATCAATTTAACAAAATTTGTTTCAATTGAATTTTGAAGCTATTTTAAGGACCAGCCTACTTAAAGGCATATTCTGTACAGGAGACAAAAGTTGACATCCTCTCAATTCTCTAGAAGGGATATGTAAATTAGAACTTGACAATACAAGGAGAATCAATTGTCCTCGAGACTAACCAGTCCATGAAACCCCAACTTGTAACTGCTCTGGCCCACCCTATACCTAAAATATATTCTGCAAAGCCTCAAATCAGTGTTTGTGTATTTCGTAGACCAGATCGTTGACCCATACTCTAAGACAGAACAGACATATGAACTTTAAAGCATGACAATACATCTCAAATTCTTAAATATCTCCAGAAATTCTCCACAGCAGTCCCAACATACGGTTAGTCCGGCTAATGATATCCTTAAAGTGCCGTTCAAAACGTAATGATTCGTCCATAATGATACCTAAATCCTTTATTGCATACTTGCATTCTCTTCAACACACACTCATCCATTCTATATGAGCACTCAGCAGGGTTTTTACGTTGAGGGAAAATCATACAGGCACATTTTACAATATTTAATTTTAAATTGTTCATCCTACACCACTCCACTAGCGAGTTAATATCCCTTTGTAGAACTTCACAATCAACTGACCATATACAGCAGTAAATTTTTAAATCATCTGCAAAAAGTGAATAATTGGGCTCCAAATGATGGCCTATATCATTCATCAGAAAAAGAAACAATTTTTGACCCAGATGGGACCCCTGAGGCAAGCCGGATATTACATCTATGTTGGGGAGAGATAACAGATGACCCTGACCTGCTGAGTACGGTCTCGAAGATAGCTTGATACCCATGATAGATAAACACTTCTAATACCAAATTTTTGAAGTTTGTGCAGTAATACAAATTAAAGACCTTGCTGAAGTTAACTTTCAGTTAACCCCCGCGGTGTGCTTTATACCTGACTTCCAGAATTACCCCACATTCTCTCCTACCTGTTGTTTGGCATCGTTAATAACAACATTAGTCATCTCTTTACATTTCCCACATAAGGCAACAAACTCGTTGTAATGGCAATTGAGATCATTCTCCCTATATATCCTGTGCTCAATCATTTTAGAAATAATCTTTCTCTTTAACTCTGGTGAAAATGAAAATATTATTTGAAAATGGAACCTTACCTATTGGTGTTAAGGCATCACCTTCTCCTTGGGGTTCTTCATCAGAGTTCGAAAATCTCTTCAAGTAAGGCGCCATGAAACTAGTAATGGCAGATATGGCAAACAAGCCACCGGCGACGTAAAACGGAACAGCGTAAGAATTCGTGGCGTCGTACAAGGCACCAGCAAGAGGGGAACCAACAATGGCTGCCGCCCCGCGAAACAGAATTAGAAGTCCAAACGCGTTGGTAAGCTTGTCGAGTCCAAGCAGATCAACAAGTATAATCGACGTTAATGAAATATAACCAGCTGAAAGATAAACAATATAAGAACAATTTAATTTGGGTGATAAAAGCTATTTTTATAATAATCAGATTATGACTAAGTGCACATCTGTTACAGGCAAATATTGGAAACGCTTTTAAAGGAGGCGGTTAATGGTTAAAGACCAAGATAAAGTAGTCTTCCGCTGTGTGGTGGATAGAAGTGAACCCGAACTGGTTGTGGGACTTTTAGATATTACAGGAATGTAAACAGTTTTTGAAATACAATTTCACGAGAAAGAAAGAAAAATAAAAAAGAAAATCGGTTTATTTTTGATAAGGTTGTGGAAATACCATGAAAATTTAGGATATTCCTTGAAGAGGGTTATAGGTAAATTGGACATCACAAATGCAAAATAATTTAATACAAAATTAATATTATTATTAAATAATGATAGATAACACCCTAAAATTGCAAGATGTTATTTAAAACATTTTTTGAATAGTCAATTAAAAAGTAGTCAATTGCCCGTCAATTAAGCAGTCCCACCACTGGTTATTCATAATTCAGAACAAAAACTTACAAACGGCAATTCCAAATGCAATAGCCATCAAAATATACATAGGGTAGGTATGGCACAACGGAGTGGCAGCGACTGCGACCGTGGAAATTACCAGGCAAATGTTGTTGACCAACAAAGCGTTGACTTGAGGAAAATCGGCAAAGTATCCACAAGCTACACGTCCTATGGTGTTGGTAATACCAATTATTGAGAGTAAAAATGAAGCTTTTGTTGCCTCTATTTTCTGAAAACGAAATATCATCTTCAATGCCTGCCACAGAGTTAACAGATGAAACGAATTTTACTTACATCTTCGATTGCACAGTCAACCAAATAAACAAAAGGAACATATAAGCCGGCCATTCCAAAAAGATTTGAGATAGCAATGGCCATGAAAACTGGGTCTTTTAATAGGCTCATATCCATCATCTGGGACAGTGCAGATTTAAAGCTGTCGGGCAAGACCAGGCATGGGCAAATATCTCCAGCTACAAATGCAATTAATATTAGAGTTTTGGTTCATTTTGCACTTTCTGGACCATGAGACTGCCCTACACAGTTTTAATACTTATCATTATATTGGGATACTTACGCGATCCCTCATCTTCTAATTGTTTAATTTTTGGTATGCTCATTATACTTTGTCGATAATTGGTCAACGATCTTTGAGACTGATGATATTCTTGAAGATTGGTAACTGAACCTGAGTAAAATATATCTTTCCTTGAGAGGGGACGGACCATGTTACTTTTTTCTCTCGCCAAAGATAGTTTTGAAGTATATGCTAAACTCTCCACATCGACCTAAAAACATATGGTTCAGCAAAGTATTAAATCTTCTCTTAGTCTTTCTTAAAAATTGATGATGAAATGATTGTGTTATAAAATGGCAAGTTTAGTTTACCTCGCTATTATTGTTTCTGCTTAGAAACGATGCGTTTGATGTATTTCTCAGTTTTTTCATATCGCTATTGGATCCAATGCTGCCGCGCGACAACGATTTTATGGGATTCAAAGTTGGCTTAAATCGTTCGCTCAGCGATGTCTTCCTCACCCTATCGAATGTCGGCACTGAACCGTTTTTGGGTAGCCCTTTAAAAGATACAAACGATGATTTTGAAAAAGAACTTATAAAATAGAAAATCAAGCAATCGTGCAACCGAAAAAAGACCATGAAGGATTTATCAAAAGGGTAACTCAACCGAAAAAACTCGTTCACTAAGCGCGATTTTTAACATTATTATTAATCTTAATAAAACTACTTTATTTTCTGCGCATATAATAATAGATTTATAAATAAAATATAATAAAATAATGTATAACTAGAATAATTTCCGACGTTTTGACACAAGAATAGCAATAATCATAATTTTTGTCTAGTATCTAGTTTTTTTATAGCTAAAATACGGCATTTATTAATGCAGTAATAATACATAGGTCCTTGCTATGTCACACGAAAAAAATACTTATGAAAATTGCTCAGCATTATTAATTAGATTTTTTTGTTTCAAGTTGGCAGTTACACGGCCATTTTAAAAACTAATTTCCAATGCTTTTTTTTGGTCGAGTCCTCGGGTATACGTATACTATATATACTAAGAAAATGAACAAAAAAAAAAGTAATATTATATGGGATTCAAATAGGAACGCTGTCATCCTGTTCTAACAAGTAAACATCAAAAAACATCAAAACCACAAAATACAACACTATGTAATTTACGAAAATAAAAAAAAAAGTTACCCTGAACATGTGACGAAAAAGCAGGTTGACTAGCATTGCGTGGCATTTTCGGGTCTTTATTTTCGGCTACCACCTTGTTTTTGAGCTCCGCAACGCGGGGGTGTTTGATTTCGGCGGTGCTGTCGCCCGGACTGGGGCTGCCGGAACTTCCGCTGTGTTCAGTGACCTTTACTTCCGCTATAGTTGGCAGTGTCGGAACGGTCGGGATTGGAGTAATGGGCGTACCAGGGGCAAGCTGGTCCAAATTCAGGCTGGAGTGCACACCTATTTTTAAATACTGTTAAAATTAATAAATGGATTAACTTTTATTGGAAAAAATTGTGCAAAATACATATTCTGCTGTTTTTTTCTGCCTAAACATTAAACAGCAAGAAAAGAAGCAAAAATCCAATATAATCGAAATGCATACTTTAGAAAGCAATAAAACCTCATTAGGTATTAGGCAAAGAGGCAAAATTCTTTCGTACTTTGTGCACTGGAGAAAAGTGCACAAAGTACCATCTGGGTTTGGGTCAATTTATGGGCTTTGCCTATTGTTATCCATTCATCCCGATACGATACTCATAAAAATATACATAACATTAGGTACCTTTGTTATTTTATCCAAGAATTAACCAGAAATTAAATTATAAAAATCAGAATACCCTTCATCTCCTTGATCTTGTTATCAAAATTCCACATTTTCTCCTCCTTTAATGATATTCTGGACTGCTTTTCGCCATTTCTCTTGCGTCACTTCTTCAATAACTTGTTTAAACGGTAGCTTAAAGTTATATGGCTACTAAAAATGTAGAGGGCCTGCTTATGCAAATAATACAGGAACTAATGAAGCAATTAGGTAAAAAAAAATTGAGCAGGTTCATTCAACTTGTCATTGCGGTATTCAACAATCAATGTGAAAGCTGACAGTTTATCCATAAGTTTGGATGAGGCATTTTAAAGGCAGTATTTTCTCAAAATATGCTTAGATATCGTTAAATGTTCTGAGAAAACGAGTTAAGTGCGTGAAAATCGCAGTACGGAAAGAAATTGGCGCAAAGTGCAGGTTAGTGGGTGAAATGTAGAAACATGCGCGTATCATCATCTTTCATCATTTGAAGGAAAATATCAATGCCACCTGAGGCGCATCAATTTTTACCGAAGTAGGGCTAGTGTATATTATCTAATAGCTAATATGCTTACAGTCAACCCAATACTGACATTCATTTTTTAAATAAAAAGGGTGAACTTTTCTTCAAATTATACTTTTAATGTCTTCATCAAGAACTGTTAAACTGTTGGTGTGCTTGAACTTTTCTCGAGAGGTTCGGCTTGAACCGGTGTTCTTCTCTTGCGAAATAATTAAGAAATGGCGGATTTTCCAACTCCAGTTATTTGGTTAATCGCATATAAGCATATAGTGCTCCTACTATGGTAAAAATTGATGGGCCGCAGATAGTTATGATATTTACGTAACCTTTCGGATATGCTTTACAGACTAATTGACAAAGTTGCAGCATTGTCCTAATTTTTCCCTGAAAATTGATTTGCTTGAAAAAAACGCAATATCAACCTCCGATATCCGAACATTATATGCAACGCCAAGTTAAGTCAAGCTATTGTCACAGAATACTAGCACTCTGTGCCATTGTTGTTTTCATTTCTAGTGTTTGTCGATTATCTTAGTACCTTTTTGTGTTTTTCTGACAAAAATGCCCACCCTTTGATCAGCTTGTTGTGTTTTGGGTCAAAACTGTAGGGAACAGAATGTGCCAATACAATGGTAAGTAAGTGGTTTATGAAAAGATTTAAATGTGGTTTATTTCTCTCACAAACTTGTATAATTTCTGCTTTCAGCACTTTGCTTTGAAATTACTGTACTTTTTTTCCACAACGCTCTCCATACCTTAACTCTCTTTTGCCTGAAGATTTAATGGGATCTGGACATATTTTGAGCTTTAAATTTTTCTAATTTTTTTCATAGTTGCTTCATAAATGATGATAAATTATATCTTCAGTAGATATAGGGTTAATCATATTTAATGAAATGATGGAAATTCAAAATAATAATTTTTTCCCTCACGGGTAGTGAGAAATTATTGGTTGGAGCGAATGTCGCCATTTTATTACTTATCTTATAATACTGTGAATACTACGGCTTAACAGGAAATACTGATGCGTTAAATTAATCAAATATATTTATAAGCGGACAAAAATGACAACAAAATCTATTTATTAATATCGGATTTTTAATAGCTTTACAAAAATAATTTTGTTGCACCTAGTGTACCTACGCCTACGCCACTAAAATTGAAACACTTTTTTGAAAAATAGCATATAGGAAACGATTCAAAGAAATCAGTTGAAAAAATCCAAGTTTCATCTACAGAAAGCACTTTTCTAAATTTAGAAGTGTGTGGAAAAAAGCTACTTGCCTCACTATTTTAAGTTAAAATAAATGCAAATGATGGTGCAAAGTGATATTCTGCGACTTAGTATTAAGGCGAATCAATTTTTTTAAATTTTACCAACATACATTAACGGTAAGGAAAAAAATATTGTACCGAACAAACGGTAAACTTCCAAGACGAGTCCAATTCACTATTATCCTCTTTTTTCATAAAGAAATATTGTATGTGTGTCAAATTTATCTTCAACAGTTAAGTTGATTACACGAATTAAAAAAAGAAAAAAAAAAGTGAAACCTTGTCGTTGATAAATTGCAAGATGATAAAAAGTACATCTGGCTGTAGTTTTTGATTCAGTAAAATCCAATATTTCAATACTCGCTAAGCAAAAAAAAAAACTAAAATATATAAAAGACAAATTCCGTAAAAAATAAAAATTTTCCACGACAATCAATAGAAACTGTTCGCACGTGAATTATTGCGAGTCTCTCTATTACCAAGTTATATTAGGAAACGTAAACAAGAAATTCGGGGCAGGCAGTGAATAGAGGCATCGGCGCCACTAAAATTCAATATTCAAAGATAAGCGTCACATTCCACTCAAAGCGTATTTGCGTAATGGAAATGGCGCAATTATCAGCTGGCTTTCTCGATGTCTCCTATTCCTGAAAACTTTTACGGCGAAGTTACAATGCTTGTCGGTTACTGCTAACCATAATAACTTGAAGTTTACTAATTAACAGGGTTTTTATGGTCAAACTTGTGGTGTTTGCTTTCGCATTTATAAATATTTAATTAATTTATCATATATTTCTCGCTTTTCGAGCAACAACTAAGGCCGATTGCATATTGAAAATGAATTAAACTGGTTGGTAACTTCGATCAGTCAATGTTTACTGAGTCCGCTGAACACGGACGAGGGTATCCAAGAATTGTTGTTTTCATTAGATTTTTTTTTCACAATAACTCTAATTAGCATCACATAAAGTGACGCTAATCGGTAATGGCGCGTAAACCCGTTTACCCGTTTATAGCATTTTTGCCTTAAGCCCGTGCTAATCTAATATCCTTAGATTTTGGCTATAATTATTCATAATTATCTAACACCACAATAAGTATCATAGTCATATTATATCCTTATATGGGGTATAAATAGCAAATTGATTTCAATCTTAATTACAATTGCTTTTCTGACGAGTTAATTCAGTTATATTAATGTCTGGTTTGACACGGAGAGCAACATTTTTGGTTGTTTTAGTGGTAGTTAATGGCCGAGGCTAGAGTTACTTTTTAAAGAATTGATTTTTGCGTAGGGCGTCCAAAGGCTTGTGCATTGTACAGTGCCACTTTCAGAAGGGAATTTACAACCCTAGTAGATTGTCTTAGACATTTAAACTCTATACTCCCTAACATACGTTTTACCATTGAGTTGGAAACTAATAATAACCTTCCATTCTTAGATATTCTTATCAATAGAAAATCAGATCTAACATTGAGTCATTGTGTTTACATAAAATCTACGCACACAGACAGATGATTTAATGCATGGTCACATCACCATCCGGCCCAAAAATTATAGGTTATCAACTCTCTTGTTTACAGAGCCGTAAAACTATCTCAGCGAGTCACTGAACACAGAATTAAAACACCTTACCTCTGCTCTTCTCTCTAATAATTTCCACATTAAAAATTAACTTCACCACCACCTTCCAATAGCAATGAGACCGAAGGCAATCCTACATTTGCCACTGTGGTCCTTTCTTACATTCAAAATATCAATGACCACATATCAAAAGTTCTAAAGAAGTATAACGTCAAAACCAGATTTACCACTTGTCCAAAAATGGCTCAACATCTTTGGCCAGGAGTTTACAGCATTCCATGCATATGCGGCAAAGAATACATTGGAGAGACCGGACGAAAAATATCAACTAGACTCAAAGAACAGGAAAGACTAAGACAAATAAACTCATCAGCTCTTGCCGAAGACACTCATGAAACCGGACATAATATTTTATTCGACAAAACTAAAATTCTTGCATGTAATCAATTCTTGTATCAACGAAAAATCCGAGAGTCTATAGAAATCTATAAACAACCTAACAATCTTAACCGCGACTCAGGTGTCTACCTGTCACCAATATGGGAATCAGTCATCTGAGACGGTGTTTATGCCCCTCATTTAGCTCCGCCCCCTCAAACAATATATAAGCAGGTACAGCGTAAAATACGAGCCAGTTTCAGTCAAACTCTGAAGAAGCCAACAGAAGAATCCAGAAATTTTGTAAAAGTATTAAAAGTCTTGACATATTGTGCCCAAACGTGGAAGCCATTGAGCAAGCAACAAGACTTAAATGGAGACAGACAGGCCTCGAATACCTTAAGGATGATACATGGAATAGAGAAATTGGCGTCCGTATTTAGAAAAAATATCACGCGGAGGAGGACCCCAAAGGCGACGGGAGGATGAAATAAAGAAATATGCAGAACACAGGAAGAAGTCTCGATAGAGAAAACTGGGGACAATTGGGAGAGGCCTATATTCAGAGATGGTATCAGTAGAACAAAGACTAAAAGACGACGAAGATTCACTTTTCTAAAGAAAACAACAAACCAACGCGTGATTTTATGTTGCTTTCAGCAACTATTTGAGATAAATCAGTATCAAAGTATGTATTTAAATTAATACAGAAAAATTACCTCTATGATAAACTTACAACAAAAATGGACATGCTATATGGCACCGAAAGAAAAATATAATATTTACTAATACATCTGTTTAATTATCGAGTAAAAAGGAAATAAGTATCCAACTCCCAGCTTTGTCAACTCATATTGCTACATATTAAAGGTTACACTCAATTTGAATCTTGTGCTGTATTATGGAAATCTTTGTCTTATAAAATTTAATTGTAATAAATTGCAAAAAACTGTTTCATACTCCGACGCGTTTTGTTGACGACTGCTATCAACAATATATAGATTATAAATATTTTCATGCCGACTTATCTATTGAGGTTTGAAGAGGTTGCATACAATTTAATGAGTAGGATTTATTGGAGTCGAAATGAACGGTATAATTAGTGCCAAAATATACTGGTCATACAAAATTTAGTTAACATATAATATAACCAGATTTACTAAACACAGACGAACCCGTGTGCTTACTCTAACACGAGGATATTGTCAACTCTAAACAATTCCTACATCTGATATGAAAATGTTATAAATGTTTTGTCTAGCGAAACTATTATGCACCATTTTATTCAATAGATAAATCAACAAAATCTGTCTGAAAAATACGGAGGTTAAAACAATACCAGTACTCGTCAATACTTTTGTTTCGAACTTCTGTTCTCTAAAAATGTTTTTAACACTACGTTTCGACCAGAAAGTATCAATAGCCGTTATCAAGTGAAAATTGAGCGGTACGATCGAAGCTATCCGCATTTATACGGCGAGGTTGATGAAAGTCAAGGTCCCTGATGTGTGACAGTAGAGGTTACCACAAGGCTGGGATTTCTGAGCTTGGGTGGCTAAAGATGTTGTTGTTGCGTTGGATGAAAGCAGCTTATATGAACTCTCTCTTCTTCCAGTACAATAACAAAATCTTTAGTCATCCAAGTGCAGAAATCCCTGCGCTGTGGCAACCTCTACTGTCACGCATCAGGCACCTTAACCTGCCACTGCCATCAAGGGTCCCCAACCGATAACGTGGCTTTCTCGCTACCTGTCACTGTATAAATGCCAGTAACTTCGATAGTAGCCCTCAGTTTTCACTTGATAATTGCTAGTGCTAGTTTCTAGCCGAAACTTCGTGTTGAAAATGTTTTTAGATAATGGAAGTTTGTTCTTGTCTACCTCTAGAGAAACAATAGCAGTCTTGCTTAAAAAATTGAGCCGCTTAGACAAAAGGACAAACAGAAATTTCTAATTTTTGAGTAATTCCTATATTTCAGTTTCTATTGGAATAATTTATTCAGTAGATAAGTTATTTTTCCTCTTAAAAAGCCAATGAGTTCTGCTAAGGCTTGGAAAATCCTCACTATTCTCTTCTTCGCAAGTGAAATTTCAATACGTTTTTAAGACATATGTGAAATGCTTTTTTTAGTATAACCATAGTGTTTTAATTCGTTCAAATGCAATAAATACATTGTGTTATCGACAAAGAGGTCTGGTCCATATGGATGCCATAACACCGAGTTATTTATTGGCTTTTGAAGTACGTTGAGAAGACTGAAAAAAAGGGAACGAAATCCGTGTGAGTTGGGAGGCGGGAGACTTGCGACTTGCTTAGGACACTATATGTATACAGTGCCGCCGTTAATAGGTCGCTTTTAGTTAGTGTTTTTTAAATATTTTTCTTCGGAATTTCGAAATAAAATAAATAAATAAACGGCATGGAATAAATTTGCTAGAAACATTTTTTTAACGCATTTATAATTACGAACGAATGAATCAAACAAATATCTGAACCAACCTGGATCAATGTTAAGAGGTTGCTTCATCCTCCTCTCCATAGTGCCGTCAGGAAGTTGAACCATGAAATACGAGCCCCCTATGCTGCCCCTTTCCATCTGGATCCTTCGTTCTTCGGCCATTCTTATAAGTAACGGTTTTTCCGTCGACTCTTTGGGATACGTCAGCGGTCTCATCAGCGCCCCGAACAAAACACAATTCAAAATAAACCCGGCCAAAATTAAATTCGCCCCGCGCCATCCGTACGCTTGAAGTAAAATATCCGCGAGCGGTGCGAACGCGAACGTCCCGACTCCCGATCCGCACACCGCTATTCCCGTGGCTAGTGATCTTTTAGTTTCGAAATAGTAACCTACACACACTACAGCAGGTAGATAAATTAAACCGAATCCTATACCACCGACGAATCCGTACGTTAACATTAACCAATTTACTGATGGACTAAAAATTGACAACACGAAGGCTACCGTAGACAACAGGCCGCCGGAAATGCAGACTGCTCGGCATCCGAATTTGTTGGTCAATGCGCTGACCAACGGACCAGCGCTCAGGTACATTCCAGAAAGTAACGATCCCACCCAGGCTGTTTTACCCTGCGGAAAAAAAATATTCGATAGATAATTAGGTGCTAAATCCCATTATTCACTTGTCAAGGCGTACATTTATGGATATACAAAGTGAACAGGTTCTTTGACATGGTTGTGAAAATGGACTTAGATTATTAAGTAGTGGTCTACTTTCAATTCTTGTCATAAAAACAAAAATCGATATATTGAGATGTATAGAGGTGTATTTCAAAATAACTATAATTTTATCACAGCTGAGTCAGCCTTCATTAATGAGAGATGTTTTGGGTAACGTTTGCATGAATATAAAAAAAAACATTAAAAATACTAATATAAACTATATAGACGAACACAAATAAAAATATATACTCTTCGTGTAATGCTCTCTTATTGAATTTATTGTTAGCAGACCAGAGCAGTGAATAAGATTATAAAATGTAATAATATTAGGCGCATATACGAAAAAACCGATATTGTTGGACTTTCATGGGACTCGCATACAAAGGCGTGAGGAATATAACCCTGGTAAATATTACGAGCAAGGCTGGATATAATCTGACAAAAAGAGAGTGCTGACTCAGAGTTTCATTCTTCTTCCTGGTTAAGTCTGGTGACCGGCATGGACAGTAACATTCAATTAACTACTAATAGAAAGCAATGAAAAAAAACAAGTCATTACTTGTTGTAATGTAAGTACTTAGCGGCCAAGATTCCATTTCGGTGTTAAATTAAACATTTTACAAGATAAAACCACAGATGAAGTCAGAAATTTACGTTATATAATTTCAGATCCCGGATGTAATGTCTCAGTTTTCCACCATTCTTTTTATACTAAATTTTGTCGCATACTATATAATAAAAGGTACTTTCAAATATATATAGACCCGTAAAAAAATAAATATGCAATTATCCAATTCACCTTGTAACACATTATCGATCGGTTTCGAAATATGCTTTAAAGTCGTCTGTGTGTGTCTTTAAATACATATGTGTTGTAAAAATTTCCTTTGCAAATACCGATTTTCTGAAATTTCATTTAAATTACGTCTAAAAGTTACCAATTAGCACACATAAAAACCAATATTCTATCTCTTTCGCTCTGCTTTATTATCAACCCATATTTGGTTCACTAATTCACCTGGATATTGATCTCATTACTCGATGTTAACAAAATTATATATACATTGAGCAAATTTTTTATGTTTTGAGATCCATCGGACGTTAACTTTTATTTTTTTACATTAGATATTCATGTCGAAGATCGTTCATCGTTTACTAACTAGTATTTAATTATCTCATGTGCATTTAATCATCGGCTTTTCTTCAAGATCTTGGAAAGTTACAGAAACTAACAAAACTAAATGAATAATTTTTAAGATTGTTTTTAAAATTACTAACAACATATGAACCAAAATAAAACATATGATAAAGCATTCAGTTTAAAAAATGGAATAGGCTTCGATAAGTTATTGACATGACCTCGTATACTGATTCTGGGACCGCTATTGATTTCTAATACGCAAAAAATTGCATAAGGAACAGTGGGTAGCTTTTCGATAAGAAGATAACAAATTGAACAGTATTTGTCACGATCTAAGAAGGTGCCCTGGCCTTTGTAATTAGATAATAAAAAATATCAAATTACCATTAGATTCTTCCCTTGTACTTAACGTAAAAGGGTCGGATTATATGGTCCTATCGTCTTTGATTCGTCAGTTTATCTCGAGCCTTGAGAGAGTGTGCATTAAAATTTTCGATAATGTCTTTTAAAATGTGAACCAAAAAGCGCACGCCCGCCGAGTATCATCGTAATTGTGAGGCCCTGCACAATTATCTTCCATATGAAATACAATGATTTCAAAAAACCTTGTTATATCAGACACGAGCAAGAGCACCTTCTAAAAGTAAAACGCTATTGTCAAAACCGAATCTTCCTGTTTCAAAGATAAGGGATAAGGATACCGTATACATACAGATTTTAACGCACAAGGGGATATTTTTAAAGGGTTTAAGTTTTAGAATGCATTCATTGCTATTTGCGTTTAAACTATTTTATAGCCTAGTTTATACCCGCATCTCTATTATTGCAACCATACCTTTTGAAGCTTATGACCGTCAGGTACCTTATTTTATTATTACTTATGGTCTTTATATATGTAATAAGAGGAGTTGATAATAGGTAGCAGGTCTATAGCTTTTTTCTAACTCATGCACTAACTTAAACGGCACCTTGGTCTCTCCATAGTGATTCATCATGGGTGTGAGGAAGACTCCGAAAGTATAAGCGATTCCATCGACGATTAGGTTACACATGAAGGAAGCGAATACAACAACCCAGCCGTAACCGCCATCCGGCGGTGGTGGAAGGTCGTTGTAATAAATGATATCTTCGTCGTCATCCTGCTGTTCGGCGGTCAGGCGGGCGGCCTCTTCGCATGCCACTTCGCTGTCAGTCTGGGAAAGATCAAGACCATATGATAAAAATATTGTTTGGGGCGTTGCTAAGCAAATAGGAACGGAACTAGCCAAGAGGTATATTCCAGAGAAAAGTGTACACGGTAAACCTTTCATTTACTTATAATTTCTATTGAATTCTTTACAATTCTTCGCAGTTTATGCCTCAGAACCAAAAATGAAACATCGTAAAAAGTGTTTATCTATGATGCTCCGTTCGGATGTTAAACAAGAAAAACGGTCTTTCTAATTCTCAAGGTAATTCTATATATTCAGCTAATAGAACTATTTTTCCAATTAGCTCTACTCAAAGACGTTATATCCAAAGGGGACGACATTTTATTCATGAAATAAATCGAAACTGACAGCCAACATTAACAAGCATTTAGAAAATTCTACGCTTGGCAATGTCAGCTGTAGCTTACCTATGAAAACTGAAGTTAGGATAATCGTAGATGGGTATTTTATTTACTGAACATTTTAATTAATATGAAATCGCAAAAATCGCTAACATCAAACAACCAAATTCCGCATCCACATCCAACTTGTCAAAAATCCAAAGCATCTGACGTCTTCTCTGATAGTTCAAAATCTTTGGGCATCCTAGTAAAAAGGTAATCATGTGGACTTAGAGTATGAACGGTATGTCTGGCTGGAAATAATAAGGGCTTGTCGGGTCTCTTGGATATGTCTTTGGTTCTACTATAGAAAATTATATAGATAATGGAAAAATTTGATAGTTTTTTGCACGCTTTAATATATATATATATATATATATATATATATATATATATATATATATATATATATATATATACACAAAACGGTAGTCGTGACCGGCTAGTTGAACAACAAATTTTAGTTAATTGGGGTATCGGTCCTGATGAGGGCTCAAATAAAAGGCTTTTGTGCTACACCAAGCTTTCGAAAATGTTTATTTTCTTCTTCAGGGGCTACAATATGAAAGCGGCTCTTAGTTATTTAATACTAAAGTCTTCTAGTTAAAGTACTTACTGCTACAGTGCCATTATAGGCCAACACCAAACTCATCCGGATAACAGAAAGAATCAAATACGACCGTTAATTATTATAACCGAGGGCAGCCATCTAGACGAAATTGTTGTTACATTTTATTTAAACGAATTTTACTTCAAACGCAAAACGCAAATGATGGAAAGGTTTTATTAATATGACTACCGCCAGCCGTCCAGTTTTTTTCCCTTCTTTTTTTCCTTTTGTTACCTCCTTTTTGTTTACAAGGCACCTAATGTATAGAGGCTTGGGACTATTTTTCTAAATTATAATTACATTGTGACGACACTATTATCAGCAAACGCAATTCGATTGACGGTTGGTTGTAAAGTTAAGACATTAGAGTAGATCACACTGAGGCCATCAATGTCAGATCTTTTATTGACCGATTTCGGTTCCAAGAAGATCTCCACCATTTCCAAAATTGCTCTTTTGTTGTAGTTGCTTTCTTTATGGAGAATTTTTGTTTCAACAAAGTTAACATCGTGATCCATTTGGTTAGAGTGTGTTGCTAATGAACAGGTGTTCTTATTGAGTCTGCAATCACTCTTGTGTGACGTAATTCTATCCTTAAGTACTCGCGATGTCTGTCCTATGTATACCTGATCACACTGATTACAGGGGATGCTATAAATTACTTCTGAATTCTTTTGTACCTCATCCTTATCTTTTAGTTTGCTAAAGACACTCCCCAATGTTTTTGTTTGTTTATATGCTATCTTAATATTTGTTTGTGCTCTCAGAATTTTTGTGAGTGTGGTCGTTAATTCTTTAATGTATGGCAATGAAAAATAAAAACATCTCAGATCGTCCATTTCTGGGCTATCTGAGTGGACGACCGTGTTCCGCGGGTTTGGAGCTCTTAGTGGGGTCGTGCTATATAACAATTTTTTAGTTAACCTACTTGGGTATGAGTTGTTAATCAGCATGTCGTAAAGCTTATTAAGATTTTTTTGTCTTAGTGATGGGTGAGAAATCCTCTCTATTCGTGTCTTTAATGCTATGACCAAATTTATTTTTGTTTTCGTTGTATGGTAAGAGTGGAAATTCATATATCTCCCCGAACTGGTCGGTTTTATGTACCAATCTAATATAATTTTGTTATCGTTGTTCCGGATCACTTTAGTGTCCAGAAATGGTACGCTTTTATCAATTTCCTCCTCTACTGTAAATTGTATGTGTGCATCATAGCTGTTAAACACTGTGAGAGTTTCCCTCACGCAACTTTCAGGTATGGAAGTAATTATATCATCCACATATTTTTTCAGAAATGGTAACTGAAACGACAGCTTATCTACGCACACCTCAAGTAGGTCATCCATAACGTATTGAGCTAATATTGGAGAAATGATGGCACCCATCGGTGTACCTAATTTTTGTTTGTAAAATTCATTGTTAAATCTAAAATACGTTGTATCAAATACAAACTGAAGTATCTTTAGGAAACTAATTTGTGACAAATCAGTGTGGTTTCTAATTCTGTTCCAATGTTTTTTTATACTTTTTTCTACCAAATTATATGGAATATTACTAAATAAATTACCTAATAAGTATGTTCTTGTGAGCTTGGATGTCGTCTCTTTATTTAGTAATATTCCATATAATTTGGTAGAAAAAAGTATAAAAAAACATTGGAACAGAATTAGAAACCACACTGATTTGTCACAAATTAGTTTCCTAAAGATACTTCAGTTTGTATTTGATACAACGTATTTTAGATTTAACAATGAATTTTACAAACAAAAATTAGGTACACCGATGGGTGCCATCATTTCTCCAATATTAGCTCAATACGTTATGGATGACCTACTTGAGGTGTGCGTAGATAAGCTGTCGTTTCAGTTACCATTTCTGAAAAAATATGTGGATGATATAATTACTTCCATACCTGAAAGTTGCGTGAGGGAAACTCTCACAGTGTTTAACAGCTATGATGCACACATACAATTTACAGTAGAGGAGGAAATTGATAAAAGCGTACCATTTCTGGACACTAAAGTGATCCGGAACAACGATAACAAAATTATATTAGATTGGTACATAAAACCGACCAGTTCGGGGAGATATATGAATTTCCACTCTTACCATACAACGAAAACAAAAATAAATTTGGTCATAGCATTAAAGACACGAATAGAGAGGATTTCTCACCCATCACTAAGACAAAAAAATCTTAATAAGCTTTACGACATGCTGATTAACAACTCATACCCAAGTAGGTTAACTAAAAAATTGTTATATAGCACGACCCCACTAAGAGCTCCAAACCCGCGGAACACGGTCGTCCACTCAGATAGCCCAGAAATGGACGATCTGAGATGTTTTTATTTTTCATTGCCATACATTAAAGAATTAACGACCACACTCACAAAAATTCTGAGAGCACAAACAAATATTAAGATAGCATATAAACAAACAAAAACATTGGGGAGTGTCTTTAGCAAACTAAAAGATAAGGATGAGGTACAAAAGAATTCAGAAGTAATTTATAGCATCCCCTGTAATCAGTGTGATCAGGTATACATAGGACAGACATCGCGAGTACTTAAGGATAGAATTACGTCACACAAGAGTGATTGCAGACTCAATAAGAACACCTGTTCATGAGCAACACACTCTAACCAAATGGATCACGATGTTAACTTTGTTGAAACAAAAATTCTCCATAAAGAAAGCAACTACAACAAAAGAGCAATTTTGGAAATGGTGGAGATCTTCTTGGAACCGAAATCGGTCAATAAAAGATCTGACATTGATGGCCTCAGTGTGATCTACTCTAATGTCTTAACTTTACAACCAACCGTCAATCGAATTGCGTTTGCTGATAATAGTGTCGTCACAATGTAATTATAATTTAGAAAAATAGTCCCAAGCCTCTATACATTAGGTGCCTTGTAAACAAAAAGGAGGTAACAAAAGGAAAAAAAGAAGGGAAAAAAACTGGACGGCTGGCGGTAGTCATATTAATAAAACCTTTCCATCATTTGCGTTTTGCGTTTGAAGTAAAATTCGTTTAAATAAAATGTAACAACAATTTCGTCTAGATGGCTGCCCTCGGTTATAATAATTAACGGTCGTATTTGATTCTTTCTGTTATCCGGATGAGTTTGGTGTTGGCCTATAATGGCACTGTAGCAGTAAGTACTTTAACTAGAAGACTTTAGTATTAAATAACTAAGAGCCGCTTTCATATTGTAGCCCCTGAAGAAGAAAATAAACATTTTCGAAAGCTTGGTGTAGCACAAAAGCCTTTTATTTGAGCCCTCATCAGGACCGATACCCCAATTAACTAAAATTTGTTATATATATATATATATATATATATATATATATATATATATATATATATATATATATATATATATATATATATATATATATATATATATATATATATAAATATATATATTCTCACGTATTGATTCACGGATGGAAAAATGTGATGACACTATACTCCGGGATATCATCCGTTCGCTCGTTGAACTCCGACTGGAATCCTGCATCCGACTGGAATCCTGCAAATCCTGCATCCGACTGGAATCCTGCAGACGTTTCGCCAAAATCTCACTTGGCATCTTCAATGCTCGCGCTCCGAAAACACTTCGAACAGTGTTATATATATATATATATATATATATATATATATATATATATATATATATATATATATATATATATATATATATATATATATATATATGATGACACTATATTCCGGGATATCATATATATATATATATATATATATATATATATATATATATATATATATATATATATATATATATATATATATATATATATATATATATATATATATATATATATATATATATATATATATATATATATATATATATATATATATATATATATATGATGACACTATATTCCGGGATATCATCCGTTCGCTTGTTGAACTCCAACTGGAATCCTGCAGACGTTTCGCCAAAATCTCACTTGGCATC